GAGCATTGGGAGACAGCACCCTATCCTTTATGAAAGAGACCAGATCTTCATCATACGAGTTAGCAGTTTGTGAGTTAACCTCCCAGGATATGTGATATTTGATATCAACCATACCAGAGGTTGAATTTTTGCGTAGTCCCATACATTTACAATGAATACATGTCTTCCACTGTATCCATAATAGCCATCATTGTAGGCACAATGAGATGGAGAAAATCACACATTTTTGGGCATTGAAACACCGAGATCTGCCCTGTTTTTCAATTATGTAACATCTAGTTTTACATGTCCCACGCAAAATAAAAAAATCAGCCCTCGACACTGAAGGATTCAATGAATCCAAGTTAGTAGTTACTCGCACGCTTCGCCATGCTGTCACATGAAATCTACAGTATTAAGCCCAAAACTTGAACGTGATCTTTGAAGAATGGTTGTAATATTTAAATTTAACAAAATACTAGCATAAAATGCAACCGAAACCTTACCTTCCTTTACTAGTTCCGACAAAAAAGCACAACTTCGATCACCAGCGCACTCCAAACCAATAAGGGAAGCTACGAAGCAATGTCAAATTCTCGTCTTCGTAAGCTTTCCAACGTATCGAAGAAAATTTCACCAATACTTCGCGCTTAAAAACGCAACAAGAATATTAATCTTTCACCAATCCGATGTGTCCCAAAAGGCATCAAGGATAGCCCATGAAACAAGAATAGCCCATGAAATTCTCAAACTTCGAGCGCGGAAAACTTAACGACCGTCTCACAATTTTGCATTGCATCCCTCCCCTAATTGGGAAGTGACACGCAGAAGACACGTTCACAACGCACTTTGATTGGAAGAAATAAAACCGCATTGTATTGGTTATTAGATGTGAGGACATAACTACAACGGAAGAGCAGAGGGGGATTTTGTTGCGCATGCGCCAAGAGAGTTTGTTCGGCGCGTTCGGCGCCATTTCGATATTTTCAGCGCGCTTTTGCCGGTTTTCAACTGAGCGATCGACACCTTTCTGTGATATTTTTTGGAGAGGGATGGAAGAGTATGACAAGTTTACTACCATTTCTAACTCTGTGGATACTTGTGGAGTTTGCTGGTTCTTCGGATGAGGATATTTTAATGATCAAAGTGCGAACAAAACGCGAAAAAAAGTCGAAAACTTGAAGTTTGAGATTTGATTTGCTGACGATCAAGATGTGCACATGAGACTACAAACCTTGAAGGTTAGTCTTAAGATGTTGATGTCTTACTTCTATAAATCACGAAGTGATGTTTGGAGGCGATCGTGAGATATTCGTTACGATAATAGAAGGTAGTTTACAATTGGATCTTATTTTACTTCAACTTTGAAATAAAATTACGTTAAGTTCGAGGTGGCCCCAAGCTTCAAATCACTTCAAATAACATCTTATCTTCTTTCTCTTTTGTTGTCCCATTGGACACAAGGCTTAAAAAAAATGTTCCAGCTTCAGGATTGAGTTGCTCTTTCTATAACCTTCGGCGAATTCGTTTTTGGGAGGTTGAGGTGGATTTTCAAAGTCATGGCTCACAACTGTCTTTGGCCATTTTGCTCTCCAAGTCTGTTGTACTTGGTACGTAGGCATGCGTCTTAACAACGTTTATAGTCTTGCCTCGATCATCTGCGGTTTTATCTAATTTTTTTTGCTGTGTTTTGGTGAGAATTTTTCTGATTGCCCTTTTGGGCTTGAAGGGCTAACTAGAGGATAAACTTCGGTAGAACTTGTTTTATCACATGGCCCCTAAATCTCTCACCACTGTCAGTTCATTGTTTATTTATTTAGCCTTCGGTCTAACCAGTTCATTTACCTCAAAAAAAATCCGTGGGCTTTGTCTCATGAGTTTAAACTGGTGCCGTTTTCTTCATGTTCATGTGTTATTCGAAACGGATGGCGTCAGCTTCATTCTGTCTTGTTTATTTCAGTAGAATACTTCTGCCATACGAAATGAATTTTGAGTCGAAGTGTACTATAAAACTCGCAGATTAAAATTATCTAACTTTCTCTGGTTCTTAAAACATGAGGTGAGCGATACAATAAATGAATAATTACTCAAGGGGCTGGAACTCTCTTTCTTTAGAATGTGAACTACAGTATTTCTGTCATATTTGAAAACGAATTTCGGGTTAAAATGTCTTCAAACCAGTTTGACTTGTATTTCTCTTTGCCAGATAAGTCTTGATCCTTCAATTTTTATTTCTTAATTGAGACTGATGATTGGAATTAACTATTGTGTTCTCTGCTGTTTAGGGAGATGTGAAGTGACCCCACTACATATGGTCAGTACTATTGACAGAAAGGATAGGTGTGACATTTGCTGTGGCAAGCTGGCATTCAAGAGAATGTCATTAGTACCAGAAGCTTACTACTGGTATAAATTATCAATCTTTTGTTCTCTCCACACAACTTGCCTCAACTAGCTTATGCTATATGCAACTTGTGTCTATACCTTTTTTTGCAACTATAAAATTACCAATAAAGTTTTTTGAAAGTTTTGTCCAAATTTCATGGGAAAACAATATGAGGAGTGATCAGGTGAAATATTGTCCTGTTCCATAACAGTGTTTGAGCTTCCAGGCAGAGCTAAAAATTTCTTAAGCGACTGATTTATGATTTTCTGCCTTAAAATTAGCACAGCCAAACCCCTGGCTTGAAAACTATTAATTTCTGCAAATAGGCATCCAAGCTGATGCCCATTACTGCAGAATATGCAATATCAAAGTCCCCTTTTGACTTAGGTCTCATTTCTCTAAAATCTGATAGATATAGAGCATCAATTTTCATAAAGAGATCAACAAACCTCTTCACATTAGTTTAATTTGACCTCACTAAGTCTTATTCCTGAAAAGAAAAGGCTTTTTTTTTTTACCCTCACTGTTAAATATCAGCCTTACTGGTTCTTTGTTGTTTAGCATGTGTAAGAGTCTTTTCAGACCATCAAATTGTCACACAACTCTTGTAATTTAATAGGTTGGAGAATAAGGTTGCAAAGAGTGTATATGATTTTTTTGTGCAGTTGGAATGATAAATGATAGTGATTTTCACTGGGCAATAATTGATTTAACTATTCATCTTACAACTGGAAGCCCAAAGTAGTACTTGTTTTCTTTCACAATTTCCCCACATCATCGATCATATCTGATGATATTTCCGAGACTAATGATTGAAAAGACTTTATCTTACTCTGATAAAATCCATAATTATTCCTCCATTTCTAACCAGATGGAGCTACCATATCTCTAGCATTAGCATTGTCTTACTTTTCTTTACTCGACATTGACCTTTTTATTTTGGTAATCGGCCCTGCCGGTTGTGATTCATGTCAAAAAAAAAAACTTTTGAAACAAAACATAAACCTCTGTAAACTTTACATTTTTGCCAAAATTGGAGGTACACTTCACTAGCAGTACAGTTGAAGCTCTAAAAAACGCTTACAGAAAGGCGAGTACTTCAAATGATCACCTATAACTTGAGATAGCAATGACACGATAAAAGTATACTATCCAATTCTTTTGTACTCTTCGACAGGCCACTTGCATCCTTCAAAAATAACATCTTCATCGATCGCCCAGACAATCACGAGACAAGACTCGAACAATCTTTTGCATTCTGAAAATAACTTCCTTCCACACATCACACAATAATTTCAAGGATTTGCCGCTTCCATCTACGTTACAGCAGAAAAAATGAGAAGAAAGGTTGTCTCAAATACTCGAACCATTGTTTTTTCCGACGTATTTTACTGCTTCTTTTCTTTCGTGATTCTCGAAAGGGAAACCGACGCAGGCGCATACCAGCGGTTTCTCGTATCAAACTAAAATTTACCGGACATGCGCAACAAAATGCCCCTCTGCTCAACGGAAGACATCAGTCTCGTCTCCAGTGGACTGAAAAGCCTTGGAATGAGTGAACAATAGATGCAGATTACACAATTTGGGGCTGTCCTGGTGTACCGGTACACGAGGGAATTCCTTTTGTTTTCATAACCATACATGGAGTTATGACGCATTCGTTAATGTTTCCTTCCTTTGTGTACCGGTACACGAGGACACAACCCACAATTTTCCAACTTTTTAGCTTTAATTTGACGCTCTTGACGAGAATTACGATAACTTTGCTTTCTTGGTGAGCGGACTTCTTGAAGCAGTGAGTAATATCTAATTTATCTTTTATTCCGCGAAAGATCGATTGATTAGGAATCAAATGTCGACCGAACAACAATAGAGAGATTCGAACGGTGAATAAAATCGAAAGTGATCCGATCGCGCGAAGCTCTATTTTCGCTGTTTCTCGAGTGTGGTTTCATTTTGCAAGCGGTGACTGTTTATGGAGTTTAAACGGATATAAACAGTAGAATGAAATTAACGTAGAAAATTCCTTGAAGCTTGTTGAATTTTGATGAATGCACGGGAAATGTGAGGGAGTCTTTTATGCTCGAAAATTCGAGAAGGCGGTCGGACGGATTTTCAGTCGCACTTAACCGAACTAAACTATGGGATGCGTTCGACCGATATCGATAATTTTAGTTTGGATTGCTAACCTCAGAGATCTAGCAGGAAATTTATCTTTCATTTCTTGTTGACAGCCAGGAATTCTTCGTTGCAGATCACTTCTTTAAATCAACGCCAACAGGGTGTTCACCCGATCCAAGTGATTTTTGCTTTGTGCTTTTCGACAAGGCACTTTACTTTCCTAGTGCCTCTCTCTACACAGAGGTAGAAACGGTTGCTAGAAAACTGTCTGGAAAACCTGAAAACATCTTTGAAAGTAACCAGCGATGAACTGACATCCCAATAGTCCGACATTTTTCATGTTAATGAAACCACGGTAAAACCTCGCCGCATGGGTTACTTAGCTCGTGAGAAGCTCTGCCTTATTTTTGCTTTACCCCACACACCCCAACATACTAGCTAGACTAGCTAGGTTGTAATTCAAACCAACTGATCTGTAGTTTAAGCACGCTTGCTATCAGGCCACTGTGTCAGCTTTTCATTAGTTATCTGTGGTTATATTTTACAGAGATTATCCAACAAAATGCCGGGTTTACCCAATGTCAAAACTCACTGCCTAGAGAACTTGAATGATAAAAGAGAGAGAAGCTGGGATGAACATATCACTAGCCTTCTGGATGACAAATATTCAGACTGGAGAAGTCCCAAAGGGACCTACATGGTCCCTGATGAGTTCTTGTACAAGAACCATCCACCAGATTTCGGAGAGCAAACAGAAAAGAAGTTTTTTGACCTCTTGAAAAATTTTGGAGAGACTCATCAAGAACCAATGTTTGTGGTTCACTCCTACCATTTTAAAGTGATTATTTCTGACTCGAATGACAATTCCAACAAGAAAGAAAGGAAGTGGGTGTTTGGAGAGCACGATTTTGTCATTATTCATCACATACATGGCATAATATTTTTCCAGGTAAACAGAAAGTATTACTAGAGATAAAAAATGTAAATTATGTATTTGATTGATTGTAAGATTGGCTTGGAAACAGGAAAATTGTCCTTCAAAGCAGCCCCTTGTATCTAATAGTCATTATTGTGGCTACTGCTTCCTAAAGGAGGCAAAGCCACATGTCATTGAGATGAGTGAGTGAGTGTAACAGTAGAATTCTGATCTTGACCCAATTTTGAATCTATGTTTCCCAATCCTACCCAGGATTGTCAAAAATATTTGAAGTAGAAGAAGAATGTAAGAAAGTAGGTGGCACTGGGGGCCTTTGGCCCCCACGCTAGGCGGGGGGTCTAAGGGCCACCAAGGCCCTTAGCGGGGTACAGGGGCAGTGGCCCGTTCAGAAGCAAAATGAATGTAGGGTTTTTCCACCAGCTAATATTGCCTCTCCTTGAAGCAATTTTTATATGTTTGCACTATTCTAACTGGCTATTCTAACATTCCTTTTACCACTCTAAGAAGATTTAATCATTTTTATTAGTGAGTTCAAAAAAACAATTTAGTAGTCACTTCTCACACAGCACAAATTTTTTTGCAAAAGAAAAAAATTTGGAGTACCAGTGCTTTCCTTCAAAGTGTACAGTAAGTGTAGAATTGAAAGAGACTACTGGTTCCCAACAGGATTCCATCTTCTTTCGATTTTTCCTATGACTTAAAAAATACTGTTGCTATCTTGCCATCAGTACAACTTGAAATCTTTATCGTATTTTGACCGTCAGAAATTATTTGACGTGGTGTGTGGTTGCTCATCTAAACAACAGTGAATTGCAGAATTGTATTAAAGTGCAAACGACTCAGAAAGTGCTAGTTCAAGATTATTTCCCATTTAGTTTATAAGTGAGATACCAAATTAGTATCAAGCATCAGCGAATTCAAGAAATTCAGAAAACAAACTAATCTGGTTAGCACAGAGAAAACATTAGGCAACCATTTTACATCTAGTTGTGTTGGCGGGCATTGGATTACATCTAGTGAAAATCATTGAGAAGCACTCCGAAATACAAAACTCTACAGTACTTCTGATTCTTGTTTTGATGCGTTTTCTTTTCTTTATCATTACTTCACAATATTAGGCACTTCATTCTTAGTTTCAGTAGATTCAAAACCTTTTTTTTTCCTTCAGTTTCCTTTTTTCTTTTTTTTTCTTTTTTTTTTTTATTACCAATGAACTGTAGCCAGCGCAACTGAAAAAGTAGCCAGCGATATTGCTGGTGGCCGGCGCTTTTTGACAACCCTGCCTACCTATTGTTGTTTTTGGAGTATCTAAGTAGTTCTATGTTTGCACTTGTTACACAGTTGAGTTCTCTCCTTTTGTGATTTCTGGCCTATAGTCACCAGCACATTGAATTTTCAGTTAAAACTTTTCCTCACAGATATATTTCAATAGATGTGACCTGCACATCACAGTAACTTTTTGAATCTTTTCTTTTTTTTTTTTTTTTTTTTTTTTTTTTTCTTTTTTAAAATCTTTTCTGAATCGGTGATTTGTGCAAGATTCGTGCAACTAGCAAGTTGTGAGCGATACCTTGAGTTATTCAACAGAATGATTGAATGGAGGAACAGTGGATTAGCAGAATGGCAGAATATCTTAAGACATAGAATGACAGAATATCCTTCAATGCAGAATGCCTTGCTTGTGTGGAAAAAAGTCTTAAAAAATGGAATTGCAATAAAATAAGAAAATTGTCTAAAAGAAGCTTGATATATATAGGATTCATGAGCCAAGCCAGTCCCTTTAAAATATTATCATATTTCTATGGTTATCATCATTATTATTGTTAATGTTATTGTTTGTCACCATTTAAATATGGTTGAATGTCAATCAGACATTATATTCTTGAATCATGTTTTGTGCAACAGGGCACTTATACATCTGTGGGGTGTGGCAGGTTTTCTGTTTTGCGTGTGAGAAAAATATTCTTCAACACTACCTCTTAGTGTCAATATACTACCTCTAGTTCTTTTCAATGCTATAAAAATTGGAATTACGGTCAACTCGCCGACGGTTCAACTCGCCAACGCCAACTCGCCGACGTACAAAATCGAGTAGAAACGTCGGCGAGTTGGTCTTCAATCCAGTACAACTTATTAGAAGTTAAACATATAGGAAATTAAAAGATCTTTGGTAAAAGAAAAAATCTTTCTTGCAACAAAGTTTATAAGAACCTCATGGCGAACAAATAAGGTAAACATCACCAATGACTATAACAGCTTCAGACGCGAACGAGTTGTGTGTGACAACAACACCGTAAAGAGTCGTCATGTCAATTGGTCAGATTTTTTTAAAGAAAACTTGGCTTTCTAGTCAAGATCTTCATTAAAAAGAAAAATTCGTTTTATTTGTAACAAAGTTTATAAAGATCTCAAGGCGAATAAAACAAGATAAACATCGGCAATGACTATAAAAGCTTCAGATGCGAACGAGTTATTGTGTGACAACAACACTGGAAAGACTCATCATGTCAATTGGTCTCATTTATTAAAGAAAACTTGGCTTTTTAGACAATATCTGTAGTAAAAAGCAATTCTTTTTATTTGCAACAAAGTTTATAAGGATCTCAAGGCGAATAAAGCAAGATAAACATCGCCAATTACTATATCAGCTTCAGACGCGAACGAGTTATTGTGTGACAACAACACCGTAAAGACTCATCATGTCAGTTGTCAGATTTTTTAAAGAAAACTTGGCTTTCTAGACGAGATCTTTATTAAAAACCAATTATTTGTATTTGCAACAAAGTTTATATGGATCTTAAGGCGAATAAAGCAAGGTGAACATCGCTAATGACTATATCCGCTTCAGACGAACGAGTTATTGTGTGACGAATGTCAGACAACTCGCCCCCTGGACAATTAGCCCCAGACGATTAGCCCCCAGTCTCTGGACGATTAGCCCCCAGTCTTAGTTTATGTAAAGGAGAAGTTACGTTCATTTGTTGGTCATTGACTTTTATGAGTTTGTGGCTCCTAAAGGAGCCCTTTTTTTTTGTGAATGTCTATCTATATTAACATTTACTCAATTTAAATTACATGGGTTGTACGAGGTGAGCACCAGTCGATAGACGCACCGGTTTTAACAGCGTTGCGGTAATCTGCCTGCCCGATTGACATAAACAAGTAGTCGCCAATAAGTTAAAGTTTCGAAGTTTCGTCCCTGGTTTCTTTCCTTTCCTATTTAAACAACATGACGGAGAAACTTTCGTAACGTATGTAAACAGAAAGAACACAGTTCATTTTTGTAGAATATATAAACAGAAAGAACACAGTTCACTTTATAATTCGATACGCACGGCAGAGAAACGTTCATAACAAGCAAACAACAAGACAGCAAGAACGCAGTTTACTTTATAATTTAACACGCATGACAGAGAAATGTTCGTAAAAAGCAAATAACAAGAACATTGTTTATTTCATAATATATGATAGGGAAACGTTCGTAAAAAGTAAAGGGCAAGAACAGTTTATTTCAAGGTTGGTGGGTTGGGGGCTAATAGTCCAGAGACTGGGGGCTAGTCGTCTGGGGCTAATTGTCCAGGGGGCGAGTTGTCCGGATACCTGTGTGACAACAACACCGTAAAGACTCGTCATGTCAATCGCTCAGATTTTTTAAAGAAAACTTGGCTTTCTAGACTCTTTCTTGAGATCCTTATAAACTTTGTTGCAAATAAAAAGAATTGCTTTTTACTGAAGATCTTGTCTAGAAAGTTTTCTTTAAAAAATCTGAGCGATTGACATGATGAGTCTTTACGGTGTTGTTGTCGCACAATAACTCGTTCGCGTCTTAAGCTGTTATAGTCATTGGTGATGTTCACCAATGTTCACCAGTGTTTAAGCTTCTGTTTGCTGTTCACCAATGTTCACCAGTGTTTTTTTACTAAATATCGTTTACTTTTCTGTAAGTTTAACTTCTAATAAATTGTATTAGATTGAGGACCAACTCGCCGACGTCTCTACTCGATTTTATACGTCGGCGAGTTGGCGTTGGCGAGTTGAACTGTCGGCGAGTTGACTGGATATCGAAAATTGTGCTATATAAGTAGCCACATAGAGTCTTTGACTGTCTATTTTTATGTAGTTTATGGTTGATAATTCTGGTAAATGTTCTTTTGTGTCTACTGTTGTTGCAAAGTTCAGCTAGTACATCCACTTAGCAAATTCTTGATATTTCTTTACCCACTCTTAGAGAACTTGTTACATGAAAAAGGTACACCCATGATCTGTTGCCTTTAAAGTTGTGGAAGGAAACATATCAGCTGTTCAAATAAGAAAAATAAGTTTCAAATTGTGACATGTCCATAATTATTCTGGATAATTAGAAGAATAATTAGTTGATTAAACAACTGTTATGTGAAATTTTGGAATATTTTTCCTTTTAAGAGTACCTCCAGGTGTTTTGAAGAAAATTAGTTAACAACACATATATGAGCTCTCATCTGAATCTTTCTAATCCTGAAATCAAACATCAAAGGATGTTTTGAACAAAGTGAATTAAAAAGCTCATTTGTTATCTTGGGTGGCTGTCATGTGTCATGTTAACTTTGTTGTAAAAAAAGCTTCCTATCAATGTAAAGAAACGTTAAGCTCCTACCATTTTTGTTTTCAGGTGAAGGCAGCTAAAAACAGAAGAAAGACATGTGGTAAGGCAAAGAGACAGTTGGAGATAGACTTGAAGTCTGCAGAGGTGTCTTGTAATGAAGATTATCCAAATGAATGTGAAAAAATAAATTCTGTGATACACAGGTATCCAGGGTTTGTAGTAATGCCCAACTGTTCTCGTGGATATTCTTCAGTTCCAAAAAAACCCGACATTATCCTTAAAGAGGACTGTGAGAATGAGAATGCATTCTCTAAGTGGTGGAATAACAATGTTGCTGATATTAAGAGCAACACTCATTTTGAAGAAATGTTTAAGTACCTGGTCATGCGGTGAGTTATAAGCTAGAATGTCATGCACTTTATTAAGGGTTGATTGCTGTGTTTTCTTTTAGCATCTTGCAGTTTATGACCCTTTTTAAATCAAATTTAATCTTCTCAGTCTTTAACCATTCTTTTCCATTTTACTGCACAGCTCTTACTTGGACGCTACATGTACATGTCTGCCTTGAAAGATTTCCTTCCAATGAAATGAAACTTTTGGCATTGCTCATATTCAGGCTCAGAATGTTTTGGGAATTCCTCTAGAGAGACTATATTAACCTCCATTGCATGATGGGCCAATAGACATGCCCATATTTTGAGTAATTTATGTTTCTTTGCTGTGTGATTATTTTTTGATATTCAAGTAGGCATAGAAGCCTTACATCCAATCTAAGTCCTAATTCTCAATTCCCTATCCTCAAAAAAAGTTTCTCATTTTCTCTTAAAAGTGTCCCTTAGACTGGTAGCGAATTGGCAGGTGATGATGTAAAAACTGTGAAAACTCTCAGTTGACCCTTAAAAATCCCAAACATTTCTTGTAATTTTTTTATCAGTCAGTGTTGAAATGCTCTTGAAATAAAGTGTGGCAAAGGTCCCCCTTGGTCAGTGCTCTAGAGATTTGTTTCTGTAGAGTAATTTCCTTAGCAAACTAAAGCTAACTTTTGACAGCAGCATTGAAAGAATATGCTGTTTCACAAGGCACAATGATTTTTTGCTGAGAAGACATTTGGTATTTTTACTGCAAGTTGCTCCTTTCCTCAGAGATTGCAAAGGCAGAGGCCATCACTGTTGGGGCTGGTCAAATAGAAAATGAGTGATTTTTCCTCTATCATAGTTGCACACCTGTCTTAACAGTTTCTTGCATCACAGCTTTGTAACATTATCATTTTGGCTACATGCTAAATGGGGACACTTTCAAAGCGCAAAAAGAAATGGTCAATGAGAACTGGCTAGGGGTTAAAGTTGATTATTTCACATTTTAAATGCAGCTAACAACCAGAAAATGCAAATAGTAATGTGTGTCCAAGGTAATTAAAAAAAGGGAAAACCTTGGAAAAAATATTGATCTTTGATTTGAATTATCAAACAAACCAATGTCTGTATTTTCTTTCTTTCTTAGTCTCTCTCTTTTGCTGTTTCAGAAAAACTCTTAGATATGCATTAACCTAAAATGAGCAGTGATCACAAAGACTTGATTTTATGTTATGTTAGATGCTTGCAGTATTTTTGTCAAACCATAAACTTTGCTTTAAAAAGTATGGTGACTAACTATCAAGTGATTCAAGATGTTATTTAAATATCATGGAAGGTTTCAATACTAATATTTCAGCTCACTTCAAATGAGAGATGTTTCTCTGCTGAGTAACAGATGGAAAACTCACTAAATATGAGTTGTTTCCTGGTCTCAGCACTTTGTCGTAATTGTTTCTTTTACCAGGACATCAGAGCCTCTTTACTCTTGTTTAGTTTACCCTTCCTACAATTTTTTTCTTAATCAGCATCGGGTAAAGAAATAAAATTGTTTAAATCTTATTGTTTTGGCTCACCAAAAATTTATGCAACATGAAATGTCCTCCCCTTGATTTTCTGGTTTGGTTTTGTTTTGTTTTGTTTTGTTTTTTTTGAAGGTTGTGCTTTTTTGAAAAAAATGAGCTCAGAGCCCTGTAGTTTGTAGCAAATAATTAGACATGAAGGATTTGTTGAAGTGGTTGGACTTAATAAACTTGCACTTTTTGCAACAAGGAGCTCATGTTTTTTTCTTACTTCATTTCTTCATGGGGCTACTTTTTCACAAAAACTTTGTCCTCAACTAAGTTGAAGTTGTTATGTCAACTTACATTTTCCAAAAAAGTCAATTTTAAGTCCTAAATTGGTACAAGTCATTTAGTATTTTTTTAAGGACTTAAGAGATTGCTAATTTAACCTCTTATAAAAAATTGCAGCTATGTTGGATTGTCCCTCAGCATCCCTTTCACCCTGAGCGATTCAATTGAGGAAAGCAAAAGGTTGATAGATGTTGCGACCGCAGATCAGATGAAACTCTTTCTTGATGCAGTGCGAGAGCGATGGATAACAGGCCCTGCTGGTAGTGGAAAGACATGGGTACTGATGAAAAAAGTAACCAAGCTTATTAGGGATGCTCATTGGCGGCGCACAAATGAAAAAATACTTGTGGTCTGTTACAACAAGCCTTTATCCTTGATGTTGGATAAGACATTTAAAGACGAGTTGATGAACATTGAGGGAAACGAAAAGTTAGAAGAAGTTGTCACAGTCAAGACTTTTGACTCACTTCTCCTTGATATTGTTAGGTCCAAACTGGGTAGCTCTGCTCCACAAAAGGCCAATGTTGCCCAAGCATTGGAACTTGTAGAGGAAGGAATTGTGTTTACCCAAAGCTATGATCATATATTTGTTGATGAATGTCAAGATCTTTGTGGTGACAAATGGCCAACTCTCTTCAAGAGGTTGCATAAGGATGATGCTGATGCTAATGTTGCTGATGATGTGCATAAGGATGATGCTGATGACATGCATAAGGATGATGCTGATGCTAATGTTGCTGATGATGTGCATAAGGATGATGCTGATGACATGCATAAGGATGATGCTGATGCTAATGTTGCTGATGATGCGCACAAGGATGATGCTGATGCTAATGTTGCTGATGATGTGCATACAGATGATGATGATGGTGATGATGATGATGATGATGATGATGATGATGGTGATGATGATGAAGATGATTGGTGTGAACCCAAATGCATCTGGTTCTTTTATGATACTAATCAGAATCTTGGAAATTCAACAGAGCAGAATCAGCTGCACAGGAAATCAATTGAGGAGAGCTTCTGGCTTGCAAAAGTTTGCAGAAACACTCAGGTTGTCTTTGAACATTCAAAGAAATACTTCATGTCAAAGATTCCAAATGCAAAACCTATTGAATTAGGACATAACATAGTTGGATTAGAGATACAGTGGGATGGCTCACTAACAAGTCAAGATGTTGAGGTGGAATATGGTACAGAGTGCATCAAGAAGCATATCAACAATCTTCGTGCAGAAAAAGTTGATGACAAAGATATCTGCATTCTGACGCAAAATATAGCCATTCGAGATGAAATCAGGAGAGTGCTCAAGAAAATGGAAATTCCGAGCCAAAATGCTGAACAAATGTTTCAAAATGATGACAACAAAGTTGTGGTTGAGAGTATCTGGCGCTTTAAAGGGTTGGAGTCAAAAGTGGTTATTCTTTACAACCCACCTGTTATCTCATATGGTGACTGGACAACTAGGAAAATTAAGGAACTTCTATACATAGCATTCTCGAGATGTTTTTGTTATCTGATTGTTGTCTCAACCAGTCATGGTTGCAATAAATTAAAATCAAAGAAGAGATTGTCTGAGTCCCCCTCCAAATGATCCATTGAAAAATGATGATGATGACAGTGATCCATTCAACATCAAGTGCTCACCAGCTAAACTCTGGATGAGGCCAACCATATTTACAAGAAGATCTTAAAAAGAGTTTTTTTGGAGCTGCATTATCTAATTCAAATACTATCCTTTGCTAAGAGAGCTCTTATTAAGCAAAAGCTGTGGAAATTATAAACTTTGCTTCTTGTAACCATTCAGTGATACTGTTTCTTAAAAATCATACCTAAGTGGTTTAGTAACTATTTACTTCTATTTAGAACTTCAAACTTTGGTGCATTATGAAACAATTTACTTTATGAAGAGCTTTAGTACACATATGTGAAATGATTTCAATGTATTGACGGCCAGATTTAATCAACTTGATCATTCAAGTCTGCCCCTGAAATTAACCCCTGTATTCTACAACTTCAATCCTCTGTTTGACCTTGAGAGTATGACACCACGTGTCCTACAAGGTGTTACCCATAGATGATATGAACGAATAATTATTGCTTCTCAATTTTGTTTTGGCAGTGGTTTATGGATTCATTTTTTCATGAAATAAATGCACCTGTAGCAAAGATGAATACAAACTGTACATCCAGGCTTCTGAGAGACACTCCCCTTCTGATTTTTAATTCAGAAAAAGTTAAGACTGCCTAACTATTCTATTTTGATATGATGATTATTTAGGTATTGAGTATTGATTGCATCAATTTTGAAGATAATTAAACCAGTGTAAGAGTATCACTCAATTTGTTTCAACCATTACAAGACTAGTGCTAAATTCAGTATTATCACAGAAAGCTGGATCAGCATTGCGTTCTGCCACAAAAAATTTGCTTATGTAGCTATGTTACTGGTAGATGAAGTTTTGAGATAACTTCTATCATGTGGAGAGCACTGAAGCTTTCCTAAAGCTGGGTTATTGAAAACCAGATAGCATGATTACAGGCTAATAAAAGAATTCCGTCAAAGGTTTTTATGTTCTACTTTCTCTCTCTAAGTCAGAGAAATTTTATTAGATTTGTAGTTTATCAAAATAAGGTGATATTTTTATCAAAGTATTTTAATAACAACAGTTGTAGATAAGATAGGAATGATCTTTCAGATTTGTAGTTTATTGAATGAATGTAACACTTTTCAAGTATTTACAGTTCAACATTTGTAGATAAGATAGGAATGATCTTTCGAGTTCTAGGTAGATTTTGTCATAGATCAAAATTTGATGAAAAGTTTCCATGTAATTGATGTGGTAAATTAGAAGTTTCTGAAGCATACAGGGAATACGTATTGTAGAAATCAGCTTTATAGAGATTATAGCTATGAATTTTGTTTTGATGGTAACAATTTTCTCTTAGACGTTATGAAAAATAAAAAGTCTTGTGAACAATTATTTGGCTGGACTGGAATTCTAATAAATATGTCAAGATGAATTAGATTCTTGTTTAGAGTAAGTATTGTCCTTTATGGGCATTTAAAAGAAAAATAGGAATAACCTTGAAAGTTTAAGGAAAATATTATCAAAGATGTCAACTTTTAGAGGGATTCCAAAGAAATAAGGTAGTTTCCATGTAATGAATATAGGGAAATTGAAGTATTTGAAGAGTAGTCAGAATGGTTTTTTTTTAAGGGAGAAAAGAGACTTGTAGGTCTTACAATTGTTTTACCATCTGAGACATCTTTTTATGATAAGAAATAATTGGTCCATAGAGCCAAGAATTCATTAAGATCCCAAAATTATTAAATAGTTTACCATGGTAATTACCATTTGTTACTAGATGAGGTAATGATAATACGTGCGATTTGTACTTTAACCCCTTAACTCCCATGAGTGACCAAGACAGAATTTCTCCTTACAATATCAATACAATATCAACCAGATAAGTGATGAGAATAAAGAAAAATATCAGCTTAGGGATAATTAGATGATTCAATACTAAATTCTCTGAACTAACGTAGTGTGAATCGCATGGTTGAGAGTGAGGAGAATGAAAAATTTATCTGTGAGTTTAAGGGTCAAGTGTTAACAGCAACCTTGCAAATTTGTGCTCATTTGAAATTAGCACTGCTTAACCTGAACATATGAAACTGATAATCTCTTTGAATAAATCCATTGACTGTAAGAGCTGAATAGGAATTAATTCCTTCTATTTATCTTACAATGCACTTACTTTGGATGAGAGTACGTATTGCCAGTATGCGCATGGCATCAGAAGTGACTACAAAGTGAGAGAAAATGGACAAAACTCCATTCTTAGTCTTTTATTTGTACTGTCTGATTGACATTGTATTAAAAATTATGATGCAAATCTGTAGACTGATCACTCTGTTGAGTTGAATGAGTTGAATAGTTGAGCCGGACAAAGATATTGCTAACAGGGGTGTCAACAAGGGTTTCAACAGGGGTGTTAACAAGTCTGTTTCACATCCTGAAGTATGATTGTTATTCATACTTTGTTTCTTTTGAAACTATACCAACAATCTTGATATCTTGAGAGACTTAAAACTTGAAAATTCAGGAGGCAATGATTTTTAATCCTTTAACATCCAGGATGAATTAATATTTAACTTCTCCTTACCATTGTTAGGGGGAGTAGCCAGATTGCAAAACTTGTGACGGACCAGGCCTGGTGACGGACTGAATATTCACTTCAAATGAGGGCTTAATGCGATCCCATTCCTGGGAAAATTGAAAATGATAGACAAAATCTAGAATGGCATCAGGGTAGAGTACTGTTCCAAAGTATTCCTCGTGTCTGAAGTGTTAGAAAAGCTCCAGAATGCCAATTATACTACGCTATTCGAAGTTCTTATTGAATTTTTTAACCCCCATAAGACCTCTTCCGATGTGTGTTGCGCTAAGCTACAAACGAAACCATCACCTGCCCTCCCCTGGTTATCATTACTTCCGTTCCAAAATCACTTGGTCAGCGGTAATCTACATTTTCAAAGATGGCGGCTATTAACACCGGCGACTTTCCAATTCACGGGCTTTTACCTAAGCGAGAAACGGGCGCAGATAGATTTTTGGCTAAATATCCCGAGTATGATGGCCGTGGAATTGTAATCGCTGTGTTTGATACAGGAGTTGATCCGGGAGCTCCCGGTTTACAGGTAAGTTTTAGTTCCGGCAATATTGTCCGGATTCAATACTCTTAAAATTTTTTTGATGTGTTATAACTCGATGGAAACTTAAAGGAAAATTAAATCCATTCGCACTTGCCTCGGTTTCAAGTCACCGTCAATAAAACGGAGTTTGTCAGGCCTTCGGAAAGTTTTAGTTCGAGAAAAGAGTTTTGTGGTACCTTTGACGTGACCTACCATTTTTCCGCATCTTAACAAACAAGTTGTCCAAGGACAAGATTTACATCGATAAGTCCAATTGTCTAACAACTCCATGCTACTTTGTGGATAGGGAGACATGTCAAGGGAAAACTCTGATGTGATAACATAAAGAACAAAAGACAAATTGGTGAAACAACAAAATGAGAGAACTTAGTGAAACAATATTAATTAGGTTTCTCTGTAGTGGAAGACAGTTTCTGTGTTGAATTTTAGCCACTCTTACCATTTCCTGCAACAGGCAACCCACAGTTTGAGACTTTGAAAATTTTTTGTTAACTTAAAAATTGGAGATGCTATTAAACAGACCAAATTAAATACTTTGTTTAAGACTTCTGTGGTGACAATAGATGGCATTTGGCAATATAGGGAGTAGTTTCTGGCAATAATGCTGAAAACTGTTTCTTTTATTGGTGATTTGCCGAAGGAAATCATTATTATGATTGTGTTCCATATGAAGTTAAGGATTAAGTAAGGGAAATAATTTGAATAGTTAATTATTTCCTGACTTCTCGGTGACCTGGACTAATTTTTTTCAAATTTGTGACTGTGAAAAGTAAAATGGGGCATTCGAACAGATGACAAATGGATAACAAATGGTTTACCCCTTCGAATGGATAACCGTTAGTATTCGTTTTGCCTTTCATGGTCACATTTATTGTGAGGTGTTTAGAAGGGAAGTTAAAACTTTATCCAAAGGATAAATCACCATTCAGTGAATAAGTGTTAACCAAATATTCTGTGCTATATATCTTCCATGCACATTGTTCAAATGGTGGATAACACCATCCAATGGGCAAATCGCTATCCAGTGGACAAGTGTTCAGATAACTTACTATGCTATCCAGCGGATAGAGATTTGTCCATTGGAATTATGCATTATCTACTCTTGGAACAATGGTGGCCAGAGAGTGATAGAGAGCTCCATTGTGGTAAACTTTGACATCTGATTAGCAATTTTTTTTTTCAAGGAAACCCCTGATGGACAACGAAAAATAATTGATTTAATTGATGCCAGTGGAAGTGGTGATGTTGATACCTCAACAGTTGCTGAGGCTGTTGATGGCTGTGTGACAGGACTTACAGGAAGGAAACTGATGGTTTGTTTTTGATGTCTTTGCCTATCCTTATTCTCTTATTCTGACCAGTCCATTTTTTCTTTTAGCTGAAAGTTTTATTGTATTATTTTCAAGACTTTTAAACTCTCAGAAAAGAACAGCTTTATGGGCCTGATTAGTTACAGTGACCTTTGATAAACTGCTCCTTGATTCCAGTCCATTGCAGGGTAATACCCGTATCTCTCTAGCATTTTGGCAGATTTCTAAGGTGGTAGGTTGGCACCCATTTATACTCAATAGTGGAGAGGGGCATCATGAGTGGAGAGTGTATTTCCTAAGAACCAAATTAAGTGATGGGCCATGGCTTGAAAACAGACCTATTGATCTGGAGTAAAGTAGACAAACTACTAAGGTTACCATTTCTTCCATAAGCGTGTGAAAAGCTCCTTTAAACTGTTTTATGTGCTTGGGCAATATTGGAGGTCAAAACCAAAAGAAGGCTCTGTCTAGCACCCCCACTATACAGAAGGTTTGATGTCAGATTTCAAAAGGCTGATACCCAGATGACCATGGATATGTCAGTCATAGTCACAAATGAAGGGGTCAGTGACTTGCTGGGGTGGGGGGTGGGGACTTTTGGAAGCACCAATATATACGGGTTCAGGAATATGGGATAATTACATTGGGTCAAATAGTTACCATGGAAATGGTTGTAAAGTAAAACCAAGATAAACATGGTTTTATTGCAATATAGTTAAAAATGCCATTTAAATTAACATTTCCCATTCAAAATATTTAAAAACCTTTTTGGGTCAATTGTTCATGTTTTGTTGCTAATTTTTCTGAATTTATACTGAAAGAATAAATAGCAGATATTGTTGGCTTGGAAAAAAACAAAGCTCATGTGATAAATACGTTAAAAAAAAAAGAGCAGTCGAGAAATACTCATTTTTTGAGTTGATGTTGGTAAAGATGTTGAAGTCCTATTAGTCAACTGTTTCCAATCTCCTACACTTAAGATATATGATAAGATAGTCAGTTTAGTACATCAAATTATTGACTTCATACCTGACTTCATTGCTGTTGTACCAACCTTACATGTGGGAGTGTAAAGTGAGCTTATGAAAACCTCAGCAGACTGAACAAATTCTTGGTACTTGTTCTCTTAAGTCCTGTAAATGCAAGTATGCATGTTGTTATTCACATGAGCCTTCAAAGCCTTTCTTTTGTCAGTCAAAGCCTTTCTTTTGTAAGTCTGGCTAAAGCCACTTGTAATGTCTAACTTTGTAATAAGCTCTCATCCAAGCTCTTGGATGAGATGATGAAGATAGCTGAGTATATCCTTTGTTTCAGTGCAGAACCATTGCCAGTCACATCTCAAATGAAGACATTTAGAGACACAAAGGAGAGCTTCATAAGTATCTGTTGACTGAACTGCAATGCAGCCATGCAGCCATGATCATGAGAGCAGTCTTCAGTGTGGAGAAACATTGAGGCTGCCTCCTCCTTATGCCACTTTACTAGCAGATGGTGGATACAATGTTCTCCATTTCATGTCACTTATACTGCATTTCTAACTATCTTAAAAGCATCCTACTGGCACCAACTTCTCACCAGGATTGAGTGCCCTCTTTACAATCTCTTATTAAGTGCCACTTCAAAAATTTTCAGGTTGGTCTTGTTTCACTTGTGAAGGGACTGGCATGACTGGAGTTGATATTCTCTCTTCTCAAATAATGGATGACTTGTTTGCCACATTTAATGGAGTTCTTCTGGTCATAGCAATCAAATACAACATCCACACAAGTGCATTTTTTTTTTCCCAGATGGGACAGTTATGACCTCCCAATAATTATTGGCAAGCTGTCCAAAAGTTGGTAAACCCACATTCCTCCATATCTGCATAAATGCAATTGATACTTCAACAGTTTAATATACATGAAGTCTTGCTAGAACAAAAACTCCTGGGAGTGTTTACCAGAGGTCATCAACTCTTCAATCAACCAAAAAACTTTTTTCTTTTAGTAGCTCTTATCAGAGCTCATTGTCTCCCAAAGTGAACAGCAAAGTTCTTGTTTTTGAGAGCTCTTATCAGAGCTCATTGACTCCCTGACTGACTAAAAAACTTCTTGCAACTAGGAGCTCTTATCAGAGCTCACTGATTCCCCCAATTGACCAACAAATGTATCAGGATCGGAAGCTCTTATCAAAGCTCATTAATTCCCCAACTAACCCTGAAAACTGCTTGCAATTGGGAACTCTTTTCAGAGCTCATAGACTCCCCAATTAACAAACAAACTTATTGTGATTGGGAGCTCTTATCAGAGATATTTGACCGTCCAAGTGACCACTAAACTTCTTGCAATTGGGGGCTCTTAACAAAGCTCATTAACTCTCCAATTGACCAACAAACCTCAAGCAATTGGGAGCTCTTATCAGAATTCTTTGACCCCCCAATTGACAAACAGATATATAGCAATTGACAGCTCTCATCAGAGCACATTGACTCCATTTATTTCTTGGCTTCCTTAGCAACAGTTGCTATGGTTAAGTTTAACCAGCTAATGCAAATTATCCTATATTTTTAGGTACTTTCCAAAGTTTCATTACCCTTCAAAATTTTATTCTATTTGTTTGAGTAGTTCTGGATGTTTTGGTGATAAGTTCCAAAACACACGAACATTGCTACTTCCAAAGGTGCTTCACCACTCCCAATAGCAAGTCGCAGACCCAAAAATTTGTGACTAAGACTGATGTGGCAATGATCTCTGGGTATCAGGCCATCATCATCTGATTTCCAACTTTTTTTTGTAGTGGGGGTGCTATGAGGTCAACTTTTTCTGGCTTTTCTTCCTCAACTGGTGTGGATTATTAACTTATTTCAATTATAAACAAAAGACTCTGTGTTCGCTTATTGAGTGCATAAGGGTATTTATCGCATCAATCAGATCACCGCACTAGGGTATTATCTTGCACTAATTAGATCACAACATTGGGGTATGCTAGCACCAATCAGAGTATTGTTCATTATGCCAATCATGCATGAAATTAGGAATGCAATATGTTGCAATGGAATTAACCCAACATTGACACACACCAAGAGTGACATATTAACAAACAATTGTGTGCTCATCTACCTAGAATAATGCTCATGTCCTTCATGATGACTTTGTAGACATGTGACTATAAACCAAGAAACAAGAAAGTTACAGAGAAAATTTTGACAGGCTAATTGCAAAACATAGTAAGAAGTATTTTATTGACTAAACTGAGGCAAGGCACAATCCATTGACCTTTAGGATGCAAAAAAATCACACGACATACCTTTTAGAAAGATCAACGTCAATTGCAAGATAATTTTGAACCTGGGCTTTTCCACAGGAAACCCATGAAATAACTTGAACCAGAATATGCTGTTTGACAAAAAACTACATCCACTCACTTGAGCAGCAATTTTTTTTTTTTATAGTTGTTAAAGTGTAACTTGTTGTGTACTTTGTTTAATGGGTTTTTAAAACAGATTCCAGATGACTGGGAGAATCCCTCAGGCAAGTTTTTCATTGGTGTGAGGAGTGCTTACAGTTTGTTTCCAACAAAGCTGAGAGAGAGACGAGTGGTAAGTAAATGAATACATTGTGTATTCTTGCTTCTAAATTTAGTGTTCTTTTGCAACTCTAATCTTTAAGTTGGTAATGTTTGGAACTCCAGTCAATTGAAAGGTGGCTTTCATTGGTGGGTTCCATCACTAGTTGCCTCAGATTCAAAAAGTGGTTTTAATTTTGTAGCAGAGTTATGACAGGGAGAAGAATTGACACTAAGGAGAGTTAGAGGAGAGAGTAGAATAAACAAATTAGTGGGCCATTCAGTAACAACTCCAGTATTTTCTGTTAACACAGCTCTGGTGTCTCAGCACTTCCAGGGGGGTAATTAATTGGTTAATAAGTTTTTCTGTGATCCCTAGATGACTGGAACTACTCAGTTAACTATTTACAACCTAACACCAGTATGCATATTCTCCATACTGTTCTCTATACTTTTTCTAGGCTTTTGTTAAGGAGAATTTGTATTACAATCTAGAGCTTCTTTTGTTGGTGATCATGGCCCTTATTCTCCTGACCTCAATGTTTGATTCAGGGGTGATATTGTAAGGAGAAATAAGATGCTAGTCACTCTTAGGGGTGAAAGGGTTAGGTGCATGTTTTAATCAGTGTAGGTTAGGTTATAACTAGTGCTGTCAGAATCAAGCAGCTTTAATGGAATGGTACCCTGTCTTGTTCACTTTTAGAAAGAAAGGCGTGAGAAGCTCTGGGACCCACCTCACCAGGTGTGCATCTCAGAGGCAACAAGGAGGCTTGATCAATGGGATGCAGAACATCCAAATCCTTCAGTGGTAAGCATCTTTTTCTAACTTCATAAGGTGATTAAGTGTATGGTTTGGTTATGGCATACTTGCTGACTACCTCAAGTCAAATGAGCGAGATTTTTATCCTCAGTCACTAGATATATTTTTTTTTTTTTCGGTGCACATAGCATGAGAAGTTAATCAGAGAAGATCTTCAAGCTCAAGTAGAGACCCTTGCCAGTCTTGAAAAGAATTACTCTGACACTGGGCCTGTTTTTGACTGTATTGTGTTTCATGATGGATACACTTGGAGGTAATGGGTTAAATTTTTACTGAGACTCACCCCTCACCTCTGTCCCTCTCCCCCACCCCCACCCCTTGCCCCATCCCCCCTTATCTCCCTTCCCCCCCCCTCACTCTTTACCCCTCCCCCCCTCGCTCCTTGCCTCTTGCTGCTTTCCCCCTTGTGTAAATGGCAATGATAATCATGGTTTTTGTCTAAACTCTCCACTTGCTTTCATCAAAATCATTTACAGCATATGCTAATTTGGTTTCTAAAAATCATAAAATATTTAAATATTTTAAAATATGAACTGAAGCAGGCATTGAAATACAAGTAAATTTTGAACTGAAGTGTTGCTTCTCTAAAATGTAAACCAACATTACAATGTATCCTTCAGTAAAGTATTAGAATATGTTAGAGACTAGTTTCTTTTCGCCCTGTTTTTGTTTTTTCACCTCCTTACAGTATCACTGCGGTAGGTTATGTGAAAAAAGGAAATGATCACCAACTACAGAACTTATAAACAAATTCTCCCTTTTAGCATCTTAGGAAATGTGTGGAGAACATTGTGAACAAAATGTATACTGATGTTAGGTTGTGAAGGGTTAAGAGGGCATTTTATTTGGTGATACAAATTTTTTTGTCGTAAGACTGTAAATTTGAAGTGAATGTTTAGGATCTATATGGAAGGATTTTTAAGAGATAGAACATAAACAATTTTCAAAGTTTTTCCTTTTACCATCTTTAGAGCTTGTGTTGACACATCTGAGAGTGGAGACTTAGCCAGCTGTACTCTTCTGGCCAATTACCGAGAATCTGGACAGTATGCCACATTTGGAAAAGAAGGTGTTAATCATTTCTTCAAATAACTCTTTGTCAATAATGTCTCTATTTTACCCCCCAGAACTAAATTTTTCCAACCAAATTTGATGAGGACTCAGTAGAGAGAAGGGGCTTACTCAACCCTTTGATCCCTGAGCGTGACAAGCATCTAATTTCTCCTAACAATATCACCTCTGAATCACACATTGAGGTCATGAGAATAAAGGAGATGATCACCAACTTAAGAAGGTCTTGATTGTTAAACAAATTCTCCTTCCCAGCACCTTAGGAAGTGTATAGAGAACAGTATGGAGAATGTGCATACTGATATTAGGTTTTAGAGGGTTAAAACTCCATACTTAAAAGGGTAGCTTTTTGCAGGCATTTCTTATTATAATAATAATGCCTGAATTATTTTTCAGATTTGTTCAACTACAGTATCACTGTTTATGAAGAAGGCAAAATACTGTCAATAGTAGCAAATGGAGGTTTGTATATGTGCATCATTCAAGGTTTGAGATCGGGGTGATTTTGTTTTTAACCCTCTAGCTCCCATCAGTGACCAAGACAGAATTTCTCCTCATGGTATCAATACAATATCAAGCAGACAATTGATGAGAATAAAGAAAAACATCAACAAGGGAAATATTGGTTGATCCAATACCAAATTCTCTAAATTAACGTCGACAGAGTTGTATGGCAGACAGTAAGGAGAATTACTGAGATCTTGGGAGTGAAAGGGTTAAGGGGCATAACAGTCTTCTTTTTTTTGTGCTTCTAGGTACTCATGGCACCCATGTGGCCAGCATAGCAGCAGGGTATTGTCCAGATGATCCAGCATTGACAGGCATTGCTCCTGGTGCTCAGGTGTACATGATATTCTAGTTTAACCCTTTACCTTTCAGAAGTGATTATCTTGTAACTTCTTGCCAACAGGCACTGAGAATAATTGAACTTATCAGGTAGAAGTTGTTACTTTCATTTAACATCAAATTCTTGTAGCTAATTTACAAGGAAATGTGTAGCAGCTAGAGGGGCAAATTAACAATCAGATCTTGGGAGTTTAGAGAGTTAATGGAGCAAGGTTAGAGTATTTTGAGATACTCTTCTGTGTCATCAAAAATTGTGTTTGCTAGGGAAGGTAGAAAAAGTCTCTCAAGGTTTTAATGCACAAGGAAGCAATTAGGGTGAGGCATATCCTTTACACCCCAACATCAGTATCAATATTCTCCATACTGTTCTCTGTACATTTTCTTAGCTACTGACAAGGAGTTTATGTTTGATAATGAAAGCCTCTTAGGCTGGTGATCATTGACTTCATTCTCATGATCTTAATAAATGATTCAGCAGTAACACTGTAGGGAGAAATTGAATGCTGGTCACTCTCAGGGTTTTAAAGGGTTAAATGAAGAAGTGGTTATGTGAAAAGTTCCTTTGTATAAGAAGATTCTGCATTTTTTCCCTCAGATTCTCTCAGTTAAAATTGGTGATTCAAGATTAAAAACCATGGAAACTGGAGCCTCCATGATAAGAGGAGTAAGCACTATTAATAGAGAAAGATGTTTTTCGTCTTGTCAAAAGTGTGGGACAAAGATAATATTATAAGTCCCCCTGAGGAATGGAAGAGCATCAGAGTGTTTGTTTCCTCATGGGGACTCAGAATATTTCTTTGTCCCATGCTTGCGACAAAACGAAAAACATCTTTCTCTATTTCTTTACCAAGCTCAAAACTTATTATCTTTCTTATTCTATTTGCAAGCATTGTTAATTTGCCAATTTTTCCTGTTATGTCTCTTGTGACCAACCTTTAATGATCTGATTTTTTTATTTTATAGTTAAGTAGATTTTTTATTTAAAAAATTTTGTTTTAGTTGATTGCAGTTCATCAGTACAAATGTGATCTTATAAATATGAGCTACGGAGAAGCAAGTCATTGGCCGAATTCAGGGTAACAAATAAATCCTTTAGTTTCTTTTTGTGCTGTCACATTCATAATGATGATGATAACAACAATAAAGATGATGATGATGATGACAATGTCAGTAACAATGGTAGTTGTAATAATGACAACAAGAAATGTTATGCAGAAAACCTCCTGTCACATCAGTTGGAGGGTTTGGTGAGTTAGTGATAAATTACCTTGAACCCCAAAACAAGATGTTCAGGGTTGTTTCCAACCCGAGTTATTCTGTTCTGTTCTCAGGGAAGAAAAATTAACTCTCGTGGTTCCATTTCAGACCAGGAGTATTAAGAGGCCATGAGGCTTGAAAAAATCTGCTTACAATCTCAATGAGAGGGTTTTAGAGAGGTCAGGTGGGGAAAATAGTTGCCCATGCATCACTACACGCTCTATAGTGCGTATAATTTGCATTTACTACACGCGCATGAGAGGAGCTACAATACAGCCACGCAGTATTATAGATATCATAGCAAATCCACTTTAAAATGTGCAGGTTATGTTTATTTAGCTTTTGTTCTTTGTTGTGTTGTAGACGTATAATAGAACTCATGAATGAACTTGTGGACAAACACAAAGTGATATTTGTGTCCAGCGCTGGTAACAATGGCCCAGCTCTATCCACAGTTGGATGTCCAGGGGGCACTGCAGAGTCTCCTATAGGTAAAATTTTTAGTAAAATTAATTTTGAAGTTACAGTGGCGTAATAATTGTTTAAGGTTATGGCATTTAAAGGATACCAATTTAAAACAGAAAAAACAAACTAAAAATCTTTGCCAAGGTTTCTTCTTTTTTTTTTTTTTTTTTTTTTTTTTTTTTTTTTCCAAATTAAGCCATTACGATTGTAAGAGTGCTTATTCTTGGTTTTGCTCATTGTTCAGGTGTTGGAGCTTATGTGTCACCAGACATGATGGCTGCTGAGTATTCTATGCTGGAAAAACTTCCCGGAAATCAATACACATGGTCCTCAAGGGGTCCAACGTAAGGAATTAGCTTTTAATAATTTGTGTCCAGCTCGCTTAAAGATGAGAAGGCTCTGAGATACCTTAAACATTTAACTCACAAGATCTAAATATGAATTCTTCTCACTGATTGCTGTTCATTTGCTATAGTTTTAATTTTGAGAATTTAATTCTCAATCAAACTTAATACTCTAGTTGATGTTTTTTTTTCGCTTGTTATCAATTTCTACTTTAAAATCTTTTCTGTCACTCCTGGGTGTTAGAAAGTACTTCTGTAGGTATTTTCTCAGCAGAAACTTGCCATTGGTACTCTTTATCTTCCGTTACTCGTGCATTAGTCGTAGTACGTTTTCGACACGGCCAGGAATTTACATGGTGATCAAACCTTGTTTTGGTTTCACTTGAAAATTACATGTTGGTTGCAAAAATATCATGATTTCAACAGGAAATGCAAACGATATGTGGTACGGAAACGGGTTGAAAGATTTTGGGACGAGCTGGTAAAGGCGGGGCGAACTTGTTTTACGTTAGGGGGCGAAATTACAAAGGTTGCAGAGGTTTAAATTGTAATGGGGCGAATTCACCACAAAACGATAAGCTCAGGGGGGAAAGGTATGTGGGAAATTCTGGATTTAAAACATCTGAAATTGTGATTTTAAGCACAGAGTTCTGACCCCCATTTTTTGTATCACAGCACAGATGGCTCATTAGGTGTGAATATCAGCGCACCGGGCGGAGCAATAGCTGCTGTCCCCAACTGGACGCTGAGAGGAACACAATTGATGAATGGAACATCAATGTCTTCACCTAATGCTTGTGGAGGAGTTGGTATGAACTGAAGACTGCAGCAAAAAATTGTAAGTGTTAGTCAAGTTTTTTTGTTGTTTAACTCATTCCAGTTTCTTTTCCCGAATTTATCTCACAGCTCTCCTGCTATCGGGTCTCAAAGCAAATGATATTGCCTATTCTCCGCACAGGTGAGCTTTTGATTTTCAATAATTTGTTTTAGGCTTTTTTTTGTCTTTGATAGCTCTTTTCAGAAGGCCCCAGCTTGATGAGACTAGTATACGTGCACCACTGGGCTTGTAGCTTGTTGTAGCATTTTTTTAAAATTTTTTTTTTAACGAGGATAGTAATTAATACATTAAAAATTTGTTTACGTTCTCAGCATTCGTAGAGCATTGGAAAATACTGCCCTTCATGTGGAAGGTAGAGCACTGTGTGTATTTCTTTAATTTGTATCATGAGAATAATTTCCCCTTTACACTCTAAGATTAATATGCATATTCTCCATACTGTTCTCTGAACATTTTTTAAGGCGCTAACAAGGAGAATTTGTCAAACAATCAAGAGCTTCCTTAGTTGGTGATCATTTCTTTTATTCTCATCACCTTCATGTGTGATTCATGGGTGATATTGTAAGGAGAAGTTAGATGATGGTCAGTCTTTTTTGTTGCCGTCTGTCTGTTGATATGTTGATTGGAAATAATGTCAAAATGGGGGAAGAACCATGAAGAGGCTTAATCTTCTACAGCCTCACATCAGCATGCATATTCTCTATACTTTTCTCCATAAATTTTCTAAGGAGCTGACAAGGAGAATTTGTTTAACAATCAAGAGATTTTGTAGCCAGTGATCATTTCCTTTATTCTCATGACCTTCATGTGTGATTCAGGGGTGATATTGTTTGGAGAAATTAGATGCTAGTCACTCTTAAGGGTCAGAGGGTAAATAGCCTCAGGCGAGTATTTCATTGGTTTTTTTTTGGTAAATTTGTTCTTCTACCGTGGTATGTAACTGAAAAGACACACGGAAATTGGAATATATTTATTTCTATAATGAGGAGAACAAAATAATCTCCTGTTATGACGTCATTGGTAATCTGACTTGCAACAGATCGTAGTTAAGCGCCAATCTGAAAGCGTCTCCATTTTTACAACAAAAGCAAGTTGGTAACTACCCGCTCTCATAATTTTTTTTTTTTTGCAGGACTTGATAGACTCACCTTAGGACATGGCCTCTTACAGGTTAGTTAGCGGAATTCATGGAATAAAAATTTTAGGCAAGGTGCAGTGAATAAGGAATGTTAATTATATGACCCGTCCGGCCTCGCTCGCGCGATCTCATAGGAAACCATAGTGAAAACTGATGCTTGTTGGGCCGAACGGGTTGACATGAGCCGTTCTAGAAAAAGCCGTCCGGCCTCAGTGCACATGTACTGCTTTGTTGCAAAAAACGAAAGAAACAATGTCGCTTTTGTTGCAAAAAATTAGTGACAGCAGTGACCAAAACTAAATGAGAAAAGAAGTATGGGGTATTGGGGGAGTGTTGTTGTCTAAACGTACGATGACACAAAGACAGTGTCAGCCAGAGTGAAATACGTACTCAAAGCAAATCAAAATTGAGGTAGAGACACCTACGTATGATACGCTGAAATTTTTCAGCCCGAGTTATGGGTAATGTGGGTGGGTAGATCTGGCTTGAACTCCGTACCTTTTTCTCCACAGCTAAAAAAGCATTCAAGATTCTTTTGTATTGTTTCATTTTAGGTCGACAAAGCGTTTGACTTTTGTCGAGAATTTTCAAGAGTTCCAGAAAGAGATGTTAGATTTCAGGTAGGTAACACACGAGGTTTACTTGAAATACTTTTTCACACTTGAAAAAAATGCGTATACGTGTAGCTGTTGTTTGAACATTTGCGCAATTGAATGAGTTTTATCGCAGTATTCCATAATACAGTGCGGGATGCGTGGGTCTAAAAGTTCAGAGTTCAAACCCGGCCAGGATCTGTGTTTTGTTCTTGAACAAGACACTTTCCTCTCCTCATGCTTCTCTCCACCCAGGAGGATAAATGGGTACCGGCTAACAGTCCGAGAATCCTTGACAAAATGCTAAGGGTAACCTACGATTTTCGAACATCCCACAAATGAAGAGTAGCTAGACTGCTACCATCAGTTGCAAAAAATGTTAAGACAGCTTCTCACACAAAAACGAATTATTATTCACAAATCGGCTACGTATAACTAACAGTCCCCCGCTCCTTCTCCCCTCTCAAAGTTTTGTCAATTTAACTTTTGGCCATGGTGTAATTTTGTAGCAGCATTGATAGGAGGGGAGGGGGAGCGTAGTTTTTGCATGATCAGGAACATTTCACCAACGATTCAATTATCTAAAATATCTAAACTAATTTTGCTTCTGATTCTGGTTACTTTGCGAGACTGAACGGGGGATGAGAGTTCATCAGGGGCCACCACTTGGATCGTGTGCCGTCTTTAAACGTTTCTTCGATATTTTTTGCTTGCTCAGATTTCTTGTTCTTCTGGCAAGAGAGGAATTTATCTTCGTGAATCCAGTCAGCTGTGTAAACCCTTCTTTGAACAAGTGTCTGTGTCAACACATTATGATGAAGATGTTGGTAAGTTTAATTTCAAATGCAAAGTTGCATTTCTCAAGAAAGTAACTTGTGGAGAAATAGCAATTTTCAATCGAGTATTGAAGGTAACTCGGGATTGCTTTATTTTTGCTGTACTTTGCTCTGTGATTGTTCCAGAAAATTTGCGCCACTCTCTCGACTCTACTTTGCTCTGTGATTGGTCCAGAAAACTCGCGCCACTCTCTCGACCAATCAGATGCAAAAGTAAACCAAATCACTCGCGTTTTCCCGCACTTTAGACAATTTAGTCGGTTTTCCTTCGAGTTCTTAGTGGCTGTTAAAGGTATTTTCCTTTCTTCTGATCGGCCGATTTGGTCACCTAGGTTTTGATTTACAAAACTCCAACGAAAAGCGCCTTGATTGTGTGTGGTTCTATGTGGAAGGGGCCGAGTAGTCATTGATACCATGATTCTCTGAAGATGGCATTTAAATCTTGCCAGATGGGTGTCGTTCAGGGTAAAACAAAATAAAATCAGTTTTGTGAGGGCATGTAAAATAATCGCCTGAAATATAAGCCGCGGCTTGGATCAAAGACTACAAACAGTCGTCGAACAATTTACCAGCGGTCTATCGACGGTCTCCCAACAACGTATCGACCTCTTACCGATAATTTATCGACGGTTTATCGAAGATTACTGGCTATCTAATGATCTTCTCATTTTGTTTTATGCTTTGTTTTATTTTTATTCTTTTCGTTTATTATAGCTAACGATGACAGATTAAACCTCAACCTCCGACTTAGTTTGGTCAGTTCAGTATCGTGGGTGACTGTACCGGATCATTTTGTCCTCATGAATACAACGAATACAGGTTTGTAAGAATAAGAGTACAATGAAAAGATAAAGTAGTCATTTAATTTGTCGGAACAGAAGCAGTAAATAGCCTGGGTTCGATGAGTCTGTACGCCAGCTAGGGAACTGGAACCGAGTGCGATCAGGTGATGCTCATTTTGAAACCTCTCGAGAAAATAAGACAAACACGGTTTCCATTCCTGGCTTTGGGTTAAACAGTCCAAACCATTGCTCATCGAAAGAAGAGTTTGATCCAACTGACTGCTGATCTGTTTATATTTCTTTTAGTGCGCAATTTCTATGTCAAGGTTGATCCTCTGGGTTTGCCGCACGGGGCGCATTATGCTGAGGTAATTAAACCGACAAGTTTGCAAAAGTGATCGTGGTGCACTAAAATAATTGCAAAGGGAACTTGCTGATACGAGAATTTCGTGACTTTGTTTCAGGTGTCTGCTTACGACATTAGCTGTCCACAGCGAGGACCGTTGTTCAGAGTTCCAATAACAGTCATTAAACCCAACAGGTATGTGCCTAGGGACCAGTAGAGCGCTTCCCGATTGAGTGCGTAAAACCAAAAACCAAAAACCAAAAACCAAAAGAATCACTACAAACAATCAATAGAAAGGAAAGCACCGATATCTGGACTTTGCTGCCGCCCCTTCCCCCCCCCCCACGTGTGGAATACGTGATAAAATGCAGGTTGTTTACTAGGAAATGACATGTGATGGGTAAAGTCCAAGGTTAGGTAAGGCGAATTGCATTGGTAGACAACGTCAAAGCACGTGAGAGTTGCGTCGAAAATTTACCTACAATAGCGTTTAGTTTCATGCGAAATTTTTCAGGGGATTAGGATTGTATCGTTAAATTTAGGCTGGTTACTGGAAAATGTCATTTTATCGGGGAAAGCGTGATCAATAATGATAAGTGAACACGTAATGTTTCCGGAAAATACTGTTTAAATACAAGATGTTATTCATGGAGAACTTCTTAAAGCAAACAAACGGATATTAACATGGTATTCGAGATAGAAAGTAAATATAACCTGGTGATCTTTTCGACCTTCGCCGAAAGAGAAACCACAAGGCGAAGACAAGAGCATCAATCAAATATGCCTCATGCAGATGCTTTGCGCAAATTTAACCAGAGTCAGCAAATCTAGCCCTTCCAAAACAAACGCTCCAGTGATAACTTCGTGTTAGGCCTTTTGCTGACGGCGTGTGCGTTGTTAGTGACGGAGCGGTACACAAAACACACTTTAACTTTTGAATGGTGGAAAAATTCCCTGCCGACTTTTGTAACCCCAATTGATCATGTGCGACGCCCTAATTCCATGAAATGATTGACATGAGGGACACTACCCTCACACACTGATTGGTGCAAACATGCCCCATTGCTATGATTTGATTTGTGCGAGATACCTAACCTAATGCTGCGATCTGATTGGTGCAGGATACATTCCCGAATGCGGCGATCTGATTGGTGTGAACAACTTACCACTCGATACGCTAACATAGAGTTATTCAGTTTTTTTATATGAAAAAAAAAAGAACTCAAAAGGCAGCTCATCCTTTGAACTCGACGTTTTAATTTCCAGTGTTAGCGATGTGAACCATTATGTGTACGAGTTGGAAGACGTGAAGTTTAAACCCGGACAGGTGCATAGGAGCTTTGTTCATGTCCCGGAGGGAGCAACGTGGGCGGGTAAGTTAAAAAAATAAAACAAGAAATGAATTGCAGTTTTCTTTGTCAGCTGCTGAAGGAAGGAAATTTTGTTACATGTTTCATCAAGATAAAACCCTCTACAGTAGTTGATAAGTCAGTCTTTCACATCTCCTTTTCACTGGATAATGCGTTGACACTGTAAAGAGGTATTTCATTTCATCTCATCTGGTGGGTTAAGTTTTAAATAATTTACATGACGAAATTTACGCCCTACTGATTGGCTGAAAACGAGTCAATTTTTCATGTAACACGCGTGCAAATTACACATACGGCGCGCGTGCTCTGCCAAAATTTCGGCTGTCTTAAATTTCTTTAAGACTACAAACTGCACTCGCCCTTCGGTCTCGTGCAATTTTGTTGACTGGTGCCTAGTATTGCACTCGAAATGATGTTGTTAACTGTACAAATTAAATTTTTTTATCAACAGAATTTTCAGCCTTGTCACTTGAAGAAGAAGTCTACGGACTCTTTATTCTCCATGCCGTTCAGCTGTCCCCTCTTTCGTCTTTTAAGGAACACGAGTTCCTCCAATATATTCCCCTTTCATCGCTGAGCGATAAAACCTACAGTTTCGCAGTAAAGGTACAAGCTGTTGTATTATTTAAGCAGTAGAAAGAGTGTGTTTCAACTAGATGTCTTTATATAAAAGGGTAAATCAGTGTTATCAACTTAGTTGATAATTTAAATTGGCCACCGTAATAAGTTTCAAAGCTGACTTTTCGTCAGAGCAAAATATTCCCTAATCGCTCTTACGCAGGACTAACGATGGAAACGTCAACTTTGAAACTCTTTACGGTGGCCAATTTACGTTATAGACTCAGTTGATAATCAGTACTAAATTACCCTGTTACACTCTCCCACCGAGTACCACAGTTTCTTTAGAAACTTACCCCCTTTATTCATTTGTCTTAAAATCAATAGCAAGGTATTCTTATTGGCCAACCAGATGAAAGCACAAGGTCTGAAGAAGCTAGTGGCATGTGATAGTTTGATTTGTATATGTTAATCGCAGGCAATTTTATATTGGGAAAAAAAAAACCTTCGGCCACCAAAGGCAAATTTAGAACTTCAGGTTCGTGAAACATTTTACAATCAGGAATGGAGGGAAAATGCAACTATTTGCAATCACGCTAAAGATGTGTAGCTTGCGGGTAAACGCGCGTGAAAACACGAGCAAGACCAAGTAAGGAGTTAGTGGAGCTGTAATTTTTTGTTTGGTAACCCTGTGTCTCTGGTTTTCTTTTCCTTTTTCAGGGAGGTAAGACGTTGGAGTTGTGCACAGCAAAATGGTGGGCTAGCTTAGGAGAGTGTGCCGTCAAGAGAAGTGTCACGTTTCATGGAGTTAATCCCAGTGAAAAGAGCATAACACTGGTAGCTATACAATTTGAGTTTTTCACGCCTTAGTAGTTCGAAATTTGTTTTGTTGCTCTGTGAGTTGTGCAAACTTCGAATTTATTTTTGGTTTAGTTTCTGTTTCGTCAACTAACTTAATGGAGACGGGATTAAAACAAATCAGAACACAGCGCGTAGTCACCCGGCTATTGTTGTGAGACTTGGGAAACAGAACTGAGAGTGATCCGAGAATGTCCAAGAGCAAACAGCACGTTAATATATGCCGTCCTAGTCGAGTGTTAATGTGAAATTTATTTGTTGGACGTATTGATGAAACCTTTTTTAGGAAGAAAAAGAACGGTCGGGAGAATTCTCAAATAAAGACCAGCCGAAACACCGAGACATTTTTTAAGGAATCTCAATTGCAGCCTGCTCCATTTGTGCCTCAAATTTCCAGCGATAGGGCAATAGAAAATGGTTCTGTTCTTTGCCCTTTCCTCAGTCCCTCGCGTGCGCATTGTTGTCAGAAAAGAGACGACTGGGCACGAAGCAGTAAATTGCGTCAGATAACACAGCGGTCAGACACTGCGCATGCACAATGGTTTAAAAACAATAAGACGGATTACGAACGCGTGTCTAGCGTGGAGTAAGGAAGAAAAAATTAAGTCTCCAACTGCTGTATTCCAATACGTAGGACGCTTGAAGATTAAATCTTAGTCTTGTTTTATTGTGAGATTTCTCAACTGCTTTTTACGCGATCGCTTCGTTTTGGTGATGACCGCAAATAACCGAACCTTCTCCTACCCCTACTACACAGTTCTTTACCGGTCGACCGTTCGCGGAAGACACAGACCTGCTTTCAACAAGGAAATAACTGCTGCTAGCACGGCCAAGTTTACGGACGATGTCATCACGCTGCCGTCCAAAGTGTGAAAAAAAAGTATGAGAGTGTAAACGACAAAGGGGGGAAAGTCTAGAACAACAATGTATATGTCTTGGCCTTAGAAACTTCGAAATGTGCTTAAGAAACGTCTCACTCGGGTTCTCTGTGTTTTCAATAATAAATTATCCATGTTGCTTTTATCTAAGTGCACATGCGCAACCTCTGGGATGTTTAAAAATGACAGCAGCGGTGATCTCTATTCGAAATGTTCTAAAATAGTGTAGTCTTTGGAACTTCATAAAAAAAATGAGTCTAAGCTCACCGAGGATAAGTGCTAGGACGCCGGCAAGCCAGAGAAAAAAAAACTAGGGTGAATACATTAAATCGAGGTTCACTGGTATAATTTTTGCGCGAAGTATAGAAAATAAGGAAATGCTCTCGCAAGAGTAAAATTTAGTCGAACTTGAATGGAAAAACAATCAAAAGCCCACAAGAAACCCTAACTTATTGTGAGTGTGTTGTTTCAGTACAGTTATCTTCAAGTGAGCAGATGGTTTCACATGCCATAATTGATATTCCGACAGCTTTTTTAATTGATTGTCTCCACCGTGACTGAGCTATGAAATGTCTTTCCTTATCAATGTTTTGTAGAGGTGGACGTGTTTTATTGACTTTTGCAGGTATTCATGTTTTTCATTCTCTTGACAACTTTACAGAAGATCCATAATTTATCATTATTCTGGTTGATTAAGAACTCAGTTTTATTTGTAGCGTCAGAAAGCGTTTGCGCACTCACCAAGTCAAAATATAAGACGATCAATTGAAACCAAACTTCCTGACCAGCTTTTAAAAGCGATTTGTTTTCAGTGCCTAGGACCATTACGTTTGTTAGAAAAGATATTTATTTCAGAAGGAAGTGACCTCTTCTGGAGAGGAAATTGCAATGGAATAGCATCAGGTTATAAAGCATCTTGTTTGCACAACGTTCTATCGATTGGTGGCGAGTGTTACGATGAACGGATCCTTTTGTGAAGCGACTCTGCAATATCTTCCCACTTATTCGGACTTTAAAGAACTTCGTTCAACTTACATTGCCAACTGTGTCTTCATTAATTTTCTAACCCATACTGCCATCATGTGGAACATAATAACAATATATGCGATACGAAAAGCTTCATCTTTGCCCAAGACTTTGAGAACTCATATGTTGAGCCTCGCTGTCTCCGATGTCGGTGTTGGTTTGTTTGCTCAGCCATTTTACACTTCTCTTCTCGTCAGATTGTTACAACAGAACCATCTTGGCTGTAATTATTATCTTGTGCTGAATGTTTGTGGTTATTTCTTTTCATTTGCGTCATTCCTCGGTGTTGTTGCCGTTAGTGTGGATAGGTTCTTAGCTGTTCATCTTCATTTGAGATACCAGGAGCTTGTAACGTTCAAACGTGTTGTTGTTGAGGTGATGGCAATATGGACGGTTAGCACATTTCTGTCTTTTTTTATTTTGTGGGGGAAAATTTCTCTTCGGGATTTTATTGTTTCTGCTACTGCAGCGATTGGTTTTACTCTCATGTTTGTGGTGTATATCAGAATGTACTTAATAATCCGACGCCACAAGAATCAGATTCGCTCTATGTTAGTACAAGATGTACCTCAGGCTGCTGAAATGACGAATTTTGCGGGCCTCATTAAATCTACTGTTGGTGTATTCTACGTATGCCTTGTCTTCCTAGCTTGTTATTTACCGTACTTAATTTGTATAGCTGTTATCAAGATTAATGGCACAAGTACCACTTTAAAGAAATTTCATCTTTTTGCGCTGACCGTCGTGTTTCTTAATTCATCATTGAATCCGGTCATCTATTGCTGGAAGATGAGACACATTCAACACGCTATCATGGAAATATTGCGAAGCATGTCTTGGCGTAGACGCCAACCTTCTCGCTTGCACTACGATCGGTCTTTAAGTTTTGTTCATGTTGACAAGTGAACACCTGTTTTTAACAAGGACGTCGTGTAGTTCGTACTCGCAGAGTAAATGAGGAGAAACGAGAACGTACTTAAAACTGAGTGATACAACGTCGTAAAAGCGATAGCGCAATTCCAATTTTTTATGAAACAATGTGTGAGTGGCGTAAGGAGCTTTAGAAGTGCAGCGACTTTTTGATAAAATAGCTTGTGTACTCTTTGATACACAAACAGTAAATTTAAAGTTTGCGGAAGTCATGGACGCACGAATTTTGTTCAAGATAACAGAAAATGCCAAGCGCTTCAAGGTTTTTGTCACTCTTTGAAATTAGAATGAAACTAGTAAAAAGAAAAATTGAACTTTCCAATCAAGGAACTTTGCAAAATGGATTTGCTCTGTTTTCTCATTTTTATTATAGTACTCATATGTAGCCTGCCATTGTCAAATAAAATTAGCAGGAAACCTTGGTGAAATTTCTCAAGAATCTTTAATTCATTGTCATTCCATCCTCATGTGTACGTAGCATATTTGTATGCACATATTTTGAAGAAAAAAATTCGTCGCCTTTTGAATAACAAATCTCACTTGGACTTCCTTCTATGTGTAATCCTTTTCTTTGCCATCGATATTATTTCTTCTTCATCAATGTCATCAACAAATCCGCCTAATTCTAATATCTACAGCATAAAACTAATGGTCAGTGCCATGGACACCGGGTCGAGGAGTCTAGGTTCGAGACGTAACTGGGTCAATGTGTTGTGTCAGTAGGCTCCAGTGCAGACTTCACATTTTACCCTAATTTGTCTTAGTTGGCGTCAAACTGTTTCGTTCTTTCCAACATCAGTCATCAGATAAATACTGCCATAGTTTTTTAGTTATTCCTTTGAATTCAGAATCGAGATAATGCTCAGTATTGTTAACCAAGTTGTAACCAATTTTATTTTTACAAAATAGTTAACAAGACCACTTTTACTACCTTAGACTCAAGCCTACACTTCAGCCTTCCATTTGTATTTGGAAGAAGATGCATCTTGATATACCAATTCCAATTTAGCTTTGGAGAAATTTTCAACCAAATGCAGAAAGTAAACCTAGAATGCGTTTTTTGGTATCCTTTGCTCTCTGATTGGCCCCGGAAACACGTGCCACTCTCTCAACCAATCAAATTCTAACCTAAAACCAATCGCACGCGGTTTTCTTGTTTTTACTTCGAGTTCTCATTGGCTCCTTGTGCTTTCTCTTCTGATTGGCTTTTAGAATAACGTGGTTTAAGTTTCGCGTCATTCAATCGAAAAGCTCTTAGAGTAACGGCCGCACTGAAAATTTGGTTTGGAGTTACAAGCACATATAACGAAAATTACTACAGTTGAACCCCGGTAACTCGAATTACCAAGGGAAATTGAAATTACTTCGAGTTATCGGGGTTTCGAATTATAGGGGTTTTGAACAAAAAGACCAGAAACACTTGATTAAACAGGGTCTATGCTTATAAATGTTGTATTGTAAGATTTCTCGCAATGTGAGAGCCAAAAACGACAAAACAAAACAAAGTTCAATTTTTCATAGTAATTAGATGAGATTAAATGTAATCTTCCGGTGCAAAATGTCATGGCTTATTTGTCCGCAAAAATGAAAATCGACTTCGAGATATCGTGGGTAAAATTTCAAAGAAAATTACCCGAAGGGAAGTAAAAATTGTTTCGAGGTATTGGGGTTTCGAGTTATAGGGGTTAAAATTACAGTAAATATATGGTGCAAATCCAAGGAAAAACAGTTTTGCTTCGAGTTGGCGGGGAATTCGAGTTATCGGGGTTTAACTGTAGTGTCAAAGGACAAGGGACATATTTCGAAGGCCTCATTTCCAGTGCTCTAATTACACTTTATATACCACAAATGGACAGCTGTTGGACACTTTTGCATTCTTCTACTTTTGCTGCAGCAAACGTCAAAGGTCTGCCGAGTGGATGTTAAAACTGCTCTAAGAGAGGAACAAATCAACCCAACTGTATCGCTCAAGACACATGCGCAGCCAATCAGGTACTCAGACGCTTTTGTCTTCATATGTCACTTGACTGTCACGAAATCCAGAGCAGCTGAGCTTGTTGAGTGTTTCTTTTCATCGGTTTCTACTTTTTTGAGTTTGGTGTGCGTTACTCAATTTGCTTGTAGAAGGTTGTGCGATAGCGTGGCGTCAAGCCAGGAAGATTTGCGTGACTCTCGGACATGAAATGAAGTTGTTTGCGTGACATGAACTTATGTATGTTTTCTACTTACCTGCAGACCTTCAGAATACAAGATCAACGCGCTTGGTTCGAGAGATGTCTTGCCGAATGGAAGGCAAATTTTTGCTCTAACTCTCACTTATAATTTTCACCAGGTACGTCTTAAGGTGCAAGTAAATGTTTCTTTTTTACAATCTTATACGTCAAGCATTTCGATTGGACTGCCCATGCGTTTTTTTTTGTTTTGTTTTTTTCAAGTACGGATTCCACATTCCTTTCTGACCAGTTTTATACTGTTTTAAGTCCAAAGCGGGTGAAGTGAGTCCCAATGCAACATACCTGTCTGACTTGTTATACGAATCTGAATACGAGTCTCAATTGTGGATGATTTTCGACTCTAACAAAAGGATGCTGGGAAGCGGAGATGCATTTCCTGACCGGGTAAGGAGAGTTTGGTTTTACATCCAATCCAGGTTGAATTGTTAACTGGTTGAGGACAACAATGAATTCAACAAGTTTTTTGTAGCTGAGTGGTAGAACATCGAACGCGAAATCCAAAGGTCTGAGGTTAGAATCTTGGAAAACTCAGATTGTCTTTGTCCTAAGCTAGTAACAAAAGATTAACTTCGTTCTTTGCCTCTGTGACTCCTATGAGTGACCGAGACATAATTAAATAATCCTCACAATATCAATACAATATCAAGCGGACAGGTGATACGAAAAAAGGAAAATATCAAGTGGAGGATTATTAGATGATCCATCACCAAATTCTTAGAACTTCATAGGAATTGTATGGCAGACAGACAGTAAGGAGAATTACTTTTGAAATCTGGGGTGCGGAAGGGTTAATAAACAGTTTTTTTTACTCAATTTGAATCTAATTGAAATTATTCCGCGACTGATTGGCTCGAGGGAATAGTATAGCATAGTATAGTATAGCACTTTAAAATTTATATTTCTGATCCAATTTCTAACTCGTTCTGCTTGGTTCATAATTCTTTGCAGTACTCAGTCAAGTTAGAAAAGGGAGATTACGTGCTGAAGCTTCAGGTAAGATGACTCGAAAAAGCCTGAAATAATCTGCACCCGCGAGAGGTCACGCAAGTGCTGCTTTCGCGTGCGCGTTTTACTCGCATTTTTGTCGAGGTTAGAAGATTCGGTCTTGATTTGGGTTCGTTGAGGAAAACTAAACTAGTGTCTGACGATAACCTGCGTTGAAAATATCTAAAAAGATGAGTCAGACATTCTTTCGAGTTGCTCGACGTTTCCTGTTGTCAATACTCTCTTCCTGAATTCAAAACTGTTCTCATTGTTTGTACTCTCTCACTACCGTCAGGTTCGACATGACAACAAGGATCAACTTGAGAAATTGAAAGACACCGTCATCTTAATAGAGCAGAAACTTTCGCCCGCTATCACTCTAGACACACATTCCTCACGTCTCGCCGCAATGAAATCTACCAAGTTCAATTCAGGCAATAAAAGACCAGGGACTTGTTGTCCTGTCTACATAATGCCTCCAGGAGATGACAAGTAAGTAACCAAGCATTTCTTGAGTTCTACAACTACAGCCTCGTTCACAAGGGGTAGAACATGCTATTCGTGATTTCTACGCCTCTGTACCCCTGTGTAATTTTTTATTGAATAATTTTTACGTTTCGGAGTTTTCATTTTAGGTATTCCAACGTTGAAAAAGGGAATGTAGTGGCCGAAACTAATTTTGCCGGTCTTGGGTCAAATTGGAAGTTTTCACGAGTTAACAAAAGAAATTTGTCCAAAATTGTGGTTTGAAAATAGAGGAGCAATCAGAGATATTAATTTCTTCATAGAGCAATTTTCAAGGGCCAGAAATGACCCGAAATACCTTTGATTTTGTATTACTCCGTCATTTGATTGGCTTAGAAAACTTGTGCCATCCTGTCAACCAATAAGATTCAAAACTGATACCAATCGCGACTTGGTCAGTTTTGGTTTTTTTTACTTTGAGATCTCAATGGTTGCTCGTGATATTTTACTTTGATCTGATTGGCTGTTTCTTTGGTTTTGAATTTAAGGAGAATCCCTCTAAAGGTTTTTAAGTCCTCTGAAATGCCTCTTCAGTTATTGTAGCTTCAAGGTAGCTTGTCTCGCGGGATTGTAGTTACATACATTCCACTTACTGCGTGATAAAACGCTGATGAAAACCTCCGATGCACCATCGTCCAACGAGGGAAAATATCCATACTTAAAACTGCGCGATGCTACGGACACCAGAATAAGCTTTGGGCGATGTGAGCCATGTAGCTTGTCAGCGGACTTTACCTTCCTCATCCGAGAAAACTTAAAACAGAATCTCCGGCAATTTTCGTGTCGTCTCAGATCTTCTCAGTACTAGTTGCTCACCGACTTGGGCTTTCACGACATTTGACTGGACATTTTTCCCTCTGTGATATAGGATTCCCAAAGCTGCTAAACCTGGGCACATCCTGAAGGGAACAGTTTCTTACGTGAAAAGTGAGACTGTAAAAAAAGCGGTGAGAGGGATTTATTTTGAATTTTCCTCGCAGGTGAGCTGCAATTGACCTGTGACCAAGACAGAATTTCTTCTTACAATATCAATGCAATATCAACCAGATAAGTGTTGAGAATAAGGAAAAATATCAATTTGGGAATAAAAAGTTGATCCAATACTAAATTCTCTGAACTAACATTATAAGTATTTTATGGTTGAAAGTAAGGAGAATTACAAATTTGATCAGGGAGGCAAAGGGTTAAAGAAATTGTAGCTCCGAAAAAGGTGTTGCTGTTGTGAATTCAGATAAGTATTCGCGATTTGTATAAACTTGTTTTTTATTCTGGTTTTTCACTTGTTTGGCTTGTTAACCAGCAGACGTATTTTAGATTTAGCGCCAGTCGAGCCCGTTTCCGTCGAGTGCTAGTTGAATCATCGGAACCACGGATGCATTTTGTAAATGTCTTCCTTTTCGGCAAAATGTTAAGGATTTCATCAGAAAAAAAGGATTATGGCAGTTATGTACACAAATTGAGTAGTTATGAATGTAGAGGATACAGGTGCTACTTTTGTGGTCGTTGTTTTTTTTAACTTCTCATATCAATTATTTCAGTGCGCTTATCCAGTTCAGTACGTTGTTCCGGCCGCACCTATTAAACAGAACAGCAAAGCAGCTACCACCAAACCGGTGGAAAAAGAGGTTAGTCCAAGGAACCGGGAAGGCGAGGGCGGCGGAAGGGTGTCAAAGGACTTAGGTTGTGTCACAATGTAATTTACCTGATCCCCCCATAAGGCTCTGTGGTATTGCGATGATCTCCCCTCATTAGCAGTCAATTTTCTACAGTCCCCCATTTAAAATCTTTTAGAGGAGAGTAACTTCCCCCTCCTCCCCAAAAAAGAGGCGCCCCCCAACCCCCTCAGGCGATAAATGATGAGTTGTCCTTTAGGGAGAAAAAGGGAAAAGGACTGAAACTGCCTGAAGTCTCATGAAGCACAACATTTGACGTAACATTCCTTAATTGTCCTCACCAGTCTCAACTATTTATTCTGGCACTCAAAAGAAGGACATAACTCCCCTTTGATGATCATGTGTTACATTTTCGTTCGTTCAGCTCGCTTTCTCAACGTTTTGTGCAAATTTTCAGATGAAACAACAGTTTGAGGAGGCAATGAGGGACCTTAAAATCTCTTGGATACCAAAGTAAGTCAGGTCTATCTTTAGTCAATGCCATTGACTAAAAAAAAGTCAAATTACCCCCCATTTTTTATTTTTCATTTGTTCCTTCTTTTCTTTTCACATTTTAGACTTGGTGATGTAACTCTGTATGACGAGCTTGCGGAGCAGTATTCTGATCATTTACCGCTACATGTAGCAAGACTCCATTTCTTAGACAATTCCAAAGTATGACAGATATCAGATGGTTTTATGTTTTCATACTCCGTTCTCTCTGTGGATTTTTGTGATATACTGTTTTGCTTGATAGATACCTTATAGCTGTTCTTACAGTTGTACAAAACAGAAGCGTGCATGCAACTTATACCAAAAATTTGTGGGTAGAATTTTACTTGCGTCTTTTTTTTTTATCGTTCCCAAAGGATAGACTTCAAAGGCTTCCACAAGTTATAGTTGCAGCGGAAAAAGTCATACAAATGGTAAGAGTGCAGAATGAGTTGATGGAGAGAGACACACGCACAGATAGACAGTCTAAATCCTGCACCAGTAGCCTAGCTTCATTTCCAGCATATAAACACACATGCACAACCCACAATTCCTCTATTCGCTCTGAGTAATAGCTAACACTCGAAATATCAGCTTTAGAAACTCTTCACATTGATGGCCAATTTACATTATCAACTCAGTTGATCCAAAAATTATCTTTTAATACCCCCCTCCGACGCAATTTCCTTAAAAACTTATTCCCTTTACAAACATCTGACTGTTCTTCTATAAGTCTGACCGACTGACTGCCACACTGGCTGACTGACTGACTGACTAACTGTCACACTGATTGAATGACTGACGGACTGTCACACTGATTGACTGGCTGACCAAGTGACTGTCACACTGATTGACTGACTGACCGACTAACTGTCACACTGATTGAATGACTGACCAAGTGACTGTCACACTGACTGACTGGCTGACCGACTAACTGTCACACTGATTGATTGACTGACCAAGTGACTGTCACACTGACTGACTGACTGACTGACCAACTAACTGTCACTGATTGACTGACCAAGTGACTGCCACACTGGCTGACTGACTGACCGACTAACTGTCACACTGATTGAATGACTGACTGACTGTCACACTGATTGATTTACTGACCAAGTGACTATCACTCTAATTGACTTACTGACCGACCGACCGACTGACTGACTGACTGACTGACTGACTGTTGGAATCATGTAGGAACCGAATGGCGACTCATTCAATTAGCCGTTAGAGACTGACATGTTTTTTCATCTTATCTCGTTTAGATAGATCTTGTTGAGTTGTCCAGTTATTATGGTATGAAGACCGACACTCGGCCAGACGCCATTATCATCAAGAGGTATTGAGTCTGAACCTGGGATATTTCTATCAGCAATATTTGATACTTTCTGTCCAATTTTATGTTTTGTTTTGAGCGCTTTTCGATTGAGTGTCTTGATTCAAAGCCGAAGTTATCACGAGAGCCAATCAGGAGAAAGTAAAAATGAGAGCCGATGAGAACTCAAAGTGGTAACAATCAAACTGTCTAAAACACGGGAAAACGCGGGAAAACGCGGGAAAACGCGGGCGACCAAGTCGTGATTGGTTTTAGTTTTGCATCTGATTGGTTGAGAGAGTGGTACGAGTTTTCAGGACCAATCACAGATCAAAGTAACGCAAAAACAAAGCAATCCCGGATTACTTTCGACTCTCAGTTAACCCTTTCGCTTCCAAGATCTTATCAGTAACTCTCTCTACTGTCTGTCATACAGTTCTTATGATGTTAGTTCGGAGGATTTGGTATTGGATCAACTAAGAATCCCTTAAATTATATTTTTTCCTAATTCTCATCTCTTATGTACTTTTAATTTGTAAGGATATTGTGAGGAGAAATTCTGTCTTGGTCATTCATGGGAGTTAAAGGGTTAAAATTGCTCTGTGAGCACACTATAATCTTTGATTGGCTAGGGACTGCAATTTTCAATCTGCCAAACCTCCCCGCCTGACGTGTTACTCAAAATCTGTGTAAAAACTGTGGCAGATCCTTGGTTTAAGAACCTGTTACGATCACAAGTGACGTTAGACAAATGAAATAGAGCATTCAAAGCAATAGACCGTGGAAAAATAATTGTGGCAAAACAAAGAGAAACTTCACAGGTTCTTACACCAGAGAAAACACGAAAGCGCCGTCAATTGCGGGTTGTCTGCGGCCTAGGTTGTGATTTTCAGTGCAACAGATTTTGTTTAAATTGAATTTTTCTCTCCAAAATGTATATATTTATTTGTTACATATCTAGACTTGGATAGTTTTGCAATAATTGTATAAATTCTTGAGCTCTCAAAAATGGATATGTGATGATTATAGCCAATGAGGCCCGTAGGGCCAAGTTGACTATCTATCTTCTCATATCCAACGCGCGCTCGTGGAATAATTGTCTATCATTCTGTTTGGTAATGTAAATTGGCCATCGTTAAGAGCTTCTACGATGGTCAATTTACATTATCAGCTCTGTTGACAAAACCAATTTATCTTGTTTTACCCCCCCCACCGACGCAGCAGCACAGTTTTTCAAGAAACTTACCCCCTCTCCCCCCTTTATAGTTCTGAACGTATGAACTGTCTCCAAATTATTTGGTAGATCCTTTGTCCAACTAATTGCATGTCACTTTTATGATCCAATAGTGAGAAAGACAGCCAAAAAGCTACATTAATAGACGCTTTGTGTCGTAAGGTAAGTGTTCCCCCTAAGCCAGAGAAAGCTTCGGAGAGAGCTTCTTTTCAGTCCTTGTATCAGTTCTATTTAAGGGGTAATGGAGAGCTTGTTACAAGCTATGAACGGGTGGTAGATGCAAGGGTAATGGCATTGAAGAAGGTAGACCATTATTGCTCGTTTGTTTTGTCTTTCACTCTGCAGTTGCTGTAGTTTTAAAGTCTTTTTTATTCAACAACTTGAAAGTTCTGCTTTAATCTTATTTTTTTCTACTTAGGGAATAGCTCTAGCTGACAGGATACTGGAAAAATCTTCGGATAGTAAGGAAACCACAGGTAAAACAACTTCAAATCCTTGCCTTAAACCTCTCAATCCCAAGATCTCAGTAGTAATTCTCTTTTGTGTCTGCCATACAATTCTTGATGTTAGTTTGGAGAATCTGGAATTGGTAAAGCCTTTATATAGGCCCAAGTGGCCCATGGGGCCAACGCTTAACTCCGGTTTCCTTAGCATGAAGCGGCTGCTAGTCCATCGCAGGGTTACCCCCAGCATATTTGCTAGTAACCCATTTGTACACCTGGGCGAAGATGAGCACTGTGAGAGTAAAGTGTCTTGCCTAACAACACAGCACAGTGACCCCGGCCAAGGCTCGAACCCGGACCACTCGATCCGGAGTCGAGCGCACTAACCGTGAGGCCACCGCGCCTCCACTCAATCTGGCATTGGGTCAAGTAATAGTCCCGTAATTGGCCCTATTTTCTCTCTCATTCATCTCTGCTTGATATTGTGCGGGGAATTTTTGTTTTGGTCCCTCTTGGGATTTAAAGGGTTAATCTTATCTATTGCAGTGAAGTTTGAACTAGATAAAGTTCGTGTCACGTACTTTTTCCAAATGTCTCTCATTTTAAATCGCTAGACGATGGAGATGCAAGTAGTTCGGATGACCAGGCGGAGACAGAGGAAGCAATCTGTAAGTGCAGAATCTGTGAGCAACCATGTTACTACAATGCTTTCCATCATGATTTCAAGTCGTGTGGTTCTCAGTCATGATCATCTGATCTTCTACCCAGTTCCTCAGTGTCCGGCTGGTCAGCCAGCCAGTATAGAGATCTGGGTAATAATTAAAGCGCATTTTTCGGATATCTTTTATTTGGTGTTGCTTGTGGTCAGAATTCAAGTAAAAGTTTCTTGTAATCTTACCGAGGATTGCGCATAACTTAACCTAATTTAAGTCATCGTTTTTAGTAGCCCCTCAAGGAATCCTCAGCTAATTTTCCTGTTTATAAGTGAGAAAGTGCGCTTACACGTATTATTTCTGGAAAATTTATCGCCGATTTTTTTACTTTGCCTTGTTCTCCTTCCGTCAGATGAAAGACTTGATGAGACTTTCAAGGAACTTGTTAAGTGGATTGACGCATCAGACCCTAAGGTAAGTCTTAAAAAGATACATTTTTGTCTTGATCTAAAGGTCGTCGAAAATTGATTGATTTTTTAACTACATTTTAAAATTGAATCAATTTCAATTCAACGGCTTCTTTTAAGCCATCTTTATCAGTTACGTGCAATTCAAGGCCTCTTCACCGAGCCCGATAACTGGGAAGAATTTTGCCTCAAAGTGAAACAAATGAATTACCTGAAGCGCGGGAAAACGCGAGTGACCAAGTCGTGATTGGTTTTAATCTTGACTCTGATTGGTTAAGAAACTGGCACGAGTTTTCTACACCAATCATGTAGCGAAGTAAAATAAACCAAAGTAATATCAGATTATTGTCTACACTTAATTGAAGATTGTTCTATCGATAGCCCAGCAAGCCCGGAGAACCGGGATCGTATAAAAACAGTTTCTTTCCAAGGGAAAATGTTCTCGTAGGTCTCATACTTGATTCTGACGCGCTTCTTTATGTTCAGGTTCTGCCGTTTTACATTCGCCGCGCGCAGGCAATGAAGCTCTACGGCCTTGCCCTGAAGGCTTCAATGAAACAAAATGGCGATGGCACGCCTAACAGGATAAACGATGACAGGAACATCCTGGTTAGTAACATCAGCTTTATCTTTTAGTGTCATAGGAGAGTAACATCTTTCGATCTCTATTGTCGTTATTGACTTGCAAAGTTTGTTTATTTAGTTTTGTGTGCGATGAACTTTTACGCCGTGTAGTAACCTGTTCCAGCCTGTCACAGTGTTGCCATCATAAGTTGTCGTGAGTGAAGGTGCAAAGTTATAACTAGCTGGATTTAATTCGTTTCCCGTTTCTCGCCTTTTTTACGAATTTTTTTCTTTTCCGAATAGCAAGAAAAGTTTTGAAGGGTTTTAATTTTTTGGTGGTTTTTTCGGGCAGTCCTCGATCAGAAAATTCGCAAAGACAAAAAAAAATACGGCAAAATAAAACGCCGCTGTAGTAAAAGAAAAAAAGAAGGGCACGTTCGAAAAGCATCGTATTCGGTCGAAATTTAACCTGCTGTAGAGTAGATGGTAGGCGTAACCGTGAAAATGGAACTGCGTTTTAAAATGTACCTGTCGTTTTGAAGACGGGGCCGTAGTTTTCAGCAAAATAACAACAAAAACAATCATTCAACATGCTTTTTCCTTGTTTGTTTTTTAGTTGTTCGAGAAGCTTGGCTGGGAACATTGTGCGCGACTCACCAGAGAGAGTCTTCCGGTGAAGTATCCTGCCTCCTATCAGCCGTTTTAATGAACACTTTTGCTGTAGCTTTTATATCGCTGTTTCATTTTGACAGGTTTAACTGAATTAAATGCACGCGGGCACGTGTAGCACGAAAAGTACTAAATTTACTTACATGATCCACTTCTTTGTATATGGACACTGCTGTTTAGACCTTTCACTCTTGTTCTCAGATAAAAATATCAATGAATGAGTTGCCAGTTATCGAATCCTTGTGTATGCGCAAAGATTTCAGGAATCGCCACGGGGCAAACATTGGTAGTTGCTAGAAAGAAATATAGCGATAGGTCTTTTCGACTTCCGAAAAAAAAAAAACGATTTTGGAGAGAGATCAACGCTTTTTCGCCGCATTTTCATCACGCGCAAATACAAGGATCTGATTAATGGCAACTCATTCATTCTCTGTATTGTCTGCCATACTTTTTTCACTATTTAAGAAAAGAGAATTTTGTTTTCAATCAATCCGTGTCACGTGGTTGATATGTCTGTGGTCTTATCACTTTTCTACCTGGAAGTATAGTTTAATTTGAAGGAGATATAACATATTGGTCTTTCCTGTGAAAAGGTTTAGTACGCAATTTTCAAATGTTGTCAAGGGTATGTAAAACTGCTTGATGAACAGATCGATTCAAAAATGAATCTAATAAAAAAAAAACACGCTGTTGTCACGTTTCGGCCGTTCTTTTTGAAGTGAAAGTTTTGTAATACCGACTTAAGCAAGTGAAAATCCACTCATGAACAAAATGATTTCTCGACGCAGCTATGTGGTTATTTTAAGTGCAAGATGATTAGATTTAACTAGACTACTACTGCCCCAGCTTTTCGGCGAAGTCCGTCGCGCGAATCAAAACAAATCGGTAGAAGAAAAAAAAAACATCGATAGTAACGCGCCGTGTGGAATTCTGGGAGTGAGGCGCAAGAAAAGTAGAGTTTGGCGCGTGAATATTTAATTTTTTTTGGCTGATTTTTTTTCTTTTGACTCGCACTACGGACAATAGGGGGGACTTCTCCTAGATTTGAACACCAGAAAAAGTTCGCAGGTGGAGGTGCCTAATAATTATGCCACCTCCCGCAAAACTATCTCAAGTTTAGTCCGTTTGGACATCAAGGTGCATTCTGTTGAACGTAACTAATTTAGGTTGGTGGGTTTATTGGGTTATTGGGACAAATTTGTATTTGATTGATCAAGTTGAACTTTTTCAACCAGCACCAAGCAAGGTTAAAATAGTTGAAAAGGCGTGGGTACCCAGCTGTCTTTTCGCGGGCTTTATTGGTTGGTCCTGGGCTCTAGGTTCTTCCAGCCGTTGGAAACGTTCGCTGTAAACGATGAGGAAAACGCCGCAAAACAGACCAATAACGCGTGCGCGTTTGATACGCAGGCTATGGAAAACAAAAGATGTTAAATACAGCAGTCGACCTCACTGGTGTTCATCAGATTCGTTGGCTACAAAGTCCTCTTAACCCTTAAACCCTGAGAGTGACTAGCATCTACTTCCTCCTTACAATATCACCCCAAAATCAAACAAAGGTTCGTCACGAGCCGAATAAAGATACTGATCACAAACTTAAGAAGCTCTCGACTTTGAAACATATTCTCTTTGCCAACGCCTCAGGAAATGTATAGAGAACAGTGCGGAGAATATGCATAATGATGTTAGGCTGTAAAGGGTAAGTTCTAATGAAGAAAGGGTTCTTCTCTCGACTTGGCAGTTCGGATTTTTTTTATACTTTCGTAGCGTAAGGTCACAAGTGCACTGAATTTCAGATTTTTAGACATTTTGCCTTATCTCTAAAAGATGAAGTGAGTCAATGAGGAAAGACAACAGGAACCAAAAAAACACAAGAAACCTTAATAACTCCGGCAAGAGAACTGACGAAAGGGCTTAAGTGACACTTCGATGTGAGCGAGTCTACAGAAATTCAGAATACTGTAATGGCAGTTCCAACGAGCTACCGTTTCAACCGAAAATAATTGGTAAAGGGAGTTATTAGGAGACCTCAAACTTCCTAAACCGATGGCGGTTAAAACTTCGATCCAGAGAGAACACGATCCGAGGAATGCTGTGAATCCCTTAATTATTTCATTCCCAAGATCTTGTTAGTAGTTCTCCTTACTGTCTGCCGTACAAATCTTATAATATTAATTCAGAGAATTTGATATTGGATCAACTAAAGATAATTGATATTTCTCTTCATTCTCATCACTTGTTTTCTCGAAATTGTATCAATAATGTGAGGAGAAATTCTGTCTTGGTCAATCATGGGAGTTAAATCAATGCAATAGTGACAGATGTATAACATCATCAGGCGCCCATATAGCAGAACTTATCCACACACCCTTTTACTCCTAAGATCCAAACAAATCGAAATTCTCCAGAGCTTGCCCCTCTGTTGCAATTTCTCATAACTTGTCTCCTTGAAAGTGTATCGAAATTTTTTTATGAGCATTTATAAATCGAGCAATTCTGAGAGCTGTGCGTGGTGGAAACAACATCTCAAAATTGACTCCAGCTCTAGAGGCCTAGAAAGTGTGGTTTCTACTAGCTGTGTTAATTCATGGTAATTTTTTTGAGTCATTTCCAAAGGTGATGGACGCCTGATTTCTCCCTACAGAAACACACATTGTTAGAGATGCATATGGTTAAATAATGTGTTTTATATCCTAATTTATTTTATATGCCAACATCCGTTAGAACACATGGTGTAATATTTCGTTCATAGGAGGGCTTAAACAGTTGCTAATTTTCTTCTATCAAACCGTGCACCTCTTTCACTCATTCACGCGATGCTCGGTAATTAACTTAAAGAGAAATTCCACTCACTGGACATTTATTGAGACTTAACACAATAAGAATGTATCCAAGAGTCCTCAAACGCACTTAGCAGTGTCCTAAATTCGAGCCGAAAAATCAGTAAGTTTTATCACTTAGAATTACTTTTCCTTTCTCAATTTCCTTTCGTTCCACAGTTAAATCCCACCAGACAATGCAGTATATCTTTGATGGCTTCTCTTCGACTTCGCAATTGAAGGCAATACAGTCACAGTCAGGTGTGAATTGATAACATGAGAAAGTTTTATTTATGCAAAAAAAAAAAAAAAAAAAGAAAATAAAACCTGGATTGTCAATATTTGCCGTAAACTGGCAAAATTTGTGTATGATAATCATATTGCATAACGAGACAGAAAAGAATCAAGGAAAAACGGAGTGCAAATCCGAAAATTAGCCGTACAGTATTCTCTTAGCTTGCTTTTTTAAAAGCCGATTCACCGCGACCCTTTGTTTTTTCTAATTTCCTTTGTATTGTTATCGCCAATATCCCGCACATCTTTCACCTAAGCTCTGTTTTGCAGCTTTTTTGACTTAAATTTGCTTCAAGCAATCATTTTCTCATGCTTACTCGTGCATGTAATAGAGAACGAAATTCAAAGGTAACAGACAACCTCTCTTCCGTCGGAGGATTAACATCACAATAAATGTTTATCAAGGATAAGTTTATTTCTTATTCAAAACTGGTTCTTTTCTAGATCTTCTTTGCATTTATGTCCTGGGCAAATATTTTTCTCACTCTCTGAGGGTATGAGAATATCGGTGTAAGAGGTTCTATGTTTACTATTTCTCAAAAGATGGGAGAAGAATTTTAATGATATAAGTAGTATATTTTAGCATTGCTGATCATTGTTTTTGAACGAAGGGCTGAAAAGGTGGATTTTAAAACAATAGTTAATTATTCAACGATTTAAACTTATTTCATGGAAAGGCTGAAGTTATTTAAGTGCGAAAATACGGACGTGAGATACTTCATCTAACAAGTCAAAGAATATTTCTCAAATCGCTTTCATCGAGGAATAGCAGGCATGTATCTTGAGTTGAATATAACGACTTGCTTGCTACCGAAAGCTTCATATTAAAGCGAATAAATCTCTATAAAAAACACAACAGGTCTTTCTTTTGTTGAAATTACTACATGAAAATTTATTGTCGAGAAAATTATTTGCTACGAGTCCACGTCCTAAAAAATTACCATTTGATATCGTTACTTATCTGGTCTACAACGAGGTTTTTGCAAGTTGACAGGCTATAGAGCGTGAAATGAGATGGGCTTATTTTTGTTTAAATGAAAGAAAACTAATTTTCTTTCCTTTCTTCTCAACGCTTGAATGCGTTTTGTGTAATTAATGCAGACAGTACCCTCATGTAATGGAAAATGGCTACAAAAGAAAGTCATGCCAGAAAAGAAAACCAGAAATTTTCGCACAAAATGAAAACCAAGGGAAAATATCAGGGTCAGTTTCCCTCCATAACTGCACTGACCAATCATGTGCAACTAAAATTTTCCCGCGAACGAGGCAGCGAAGTAATGTCTGGAATGTTGCACTTGCGCAGTGCTTAACTATTAGCCACGTGGTTAATGATTGGCCAATCAGAAGGCAAAATTAAACCCCACCGCGAAGATCGTTTGTCAGGGCCTGAGTCGGTGCAAAAACATGTCCGCTCAAGCGAGGAATTGAGAAATTATAGCTTGATTTCTGCCAAACTAGCCCTAAAAACATGCCTCGTTAAGCAATCTTGCGATAGATATTACATTTCTTCGTACTTTCCGAGCGATCGCGTTGAAATCAGACCGAGATCAAGTTCGCGATTTCGACGAGTTTGTCTCGCATCTCAGCCACTTAGTCTTTGCGCAAATTGGAGTACACGAATCACCCATGCGATCTTTTCGAGCTGTAGTGAGAGGTATAACGTCAATTTAGATTGTACCGATGTCGAATCCAACAGCCACACTCACAAGCTTGTGGATAGAAGGTTTGTACCTTCCGATTTTCTTTAACACACGTGTTTATTTTTTTTCGTTGTGAAACGAGTTCCTGCGTTCTTCTCTCCTTAAGCCAGGTTAGAATTTCTCAAACTCACTTCAGAACTAATGCATTGCTTAACATCGATTTCATTGAGAACCTTGTAACTTAAAGAATGTATTTTTTCGTCAATTGTGCCAACTCATCAGGCTCAAGGAACGCTTTCCTTTAGTTAAAATAAATTGTTATCCTTTTCTGATGAAAGCTCTTGAATATTCAAATCGCTTGTAGGTCAACCAAGCCCTGTGAAGAGTAACCCAGCTACTCCAGTGAAAGGAGTTGTGAATCGGGACGCTACAGTGGTTTCAGAAGACTTCTTAAAGTTTTACAAAGATAGTGGACTTGAACCTTTAGCCCGAGAGGTAGGAAAAAGTTACCCTCAATCACCTCGTGACTTCGTTACACTTATGCTATGGCGATTAATATGGTTCGGTACTCGACGAACAGTATAAATCTAAACATCTTCACATTTATCCGCGATGGCTTCTAACATCGCAATTTATAATTCATGATATATTTCTTAAGCTCTTCTTGCAAATGACACTTCTAGTTCACCCTCAGTTCGCTTTCAGACCGAGAGTCATTGCATACGAGAGTTCACTGCATCACTTTCAATTTTTGTCTGCGCGATTTGAGTGATTTGCAAGCACAACTTTGAGATCGAGCTTTCGTTTTTCACCAGCATAGTTCCCCATCAAATCGCAGCTCAGACACTAATCTTTTCTTCTTTTCCTTCTTTATTTTGACTGTTAGGCTGGCGTGATAGACAACAACGGAACACTAGACGGACTGAAAGATTCCACCTCTCATCCAAGAGTCAATTGTTAGTTTTGCGATATTTGTTTGCTTTTGGATTTTGGGTTTGATTTAGGACACCCAAATGCAAATACATTTTTTTTTCGAACATGTCGCTCACTTAAAAATATTCAAGTGAAATTTCATCTCGGCTCGGTAGATCACATGGTTTCGGATCTACGACTTGGATTTTGTGTCTTTGATTAGATTAGCACTGATAAAGCTTGTATCATTGGTTCACGCGATGTTCTGTTTGAGTGGTACTACTTTCTTTGTGGACGAATTAGTATGTTGAATGTCCAGCTAGAATTCCTGGGCAGAATATATCTTTCTTGTGATTACAGACCCCTTTGGGAAAAGTAAAAAACTGACTGAATTTTATATATGACATAATTTTGTAGGCTTTATTGCCCTTTTTTCATCTGAAGGTTCATGTTTACTGTTGCATTGCAAGTGAAATAAGCTATTTTGGTTGTCTGGTGCAGTGGGACCTTGATCAAAACTGAAATGTGACTTTTTCAGTTTTGTGTTGTATAGCATTAAGATTTCCCTGCATATCTGTACAAAATATTTCAGTGTGGAAGTTGAGAGAATCACTTTTAGAGCTAGGGTACTGTAGTCCACTGCAACATCTATTCATATGTGCAAGGTTAAATTCAACCCTTAAACTCCCATGAGTGACCAAGTCAGAATTTTTCCTTACAAAACCAATACAATATCAAGCAGACAAGTGATGAGAGCAAAGAAAAATATTAATTAGGGGATTATTAGTTGATCTGATACCAAATGCTCTGAACTAACATCATAAGATTTATATGGCAGATAGTAAGGAGAATTACTAATGAGATCTTGAGAGTTAGAGGGTTAACCTGTTCACTCCCAAGAACTATGTTTCAATTCATGACACTGTTTGCAGCACACTAGATATATACTCAGCTCTGATAATTTGAAGAATTCAAAAGTTTCCCCTTTTTCATTTTATGACATTTCTCTGAAAATCTATTGATAATGTTGGGAAGAATTCCTTCTGGTTGCTCCAAGGAGTGAAAGGGTGAAAAATATGTTTGGCATCCTGGCCTTAACAATCTTTGAATTCAACCAGCACCTGCAAAAAGAATTGCTCATATCCTTATTTTTAAGGTGACACTCAGTAAGATGTGCTCTGTACCATCTGTAATGAGGTGTTTCTTGTTGTCATCATTGCCTGTGTTTTTTCTTCTTTACAATATACCTCCTGTGAAAGATAAGTGAAGACATTCTTTAAATTCAGACAGGTAGCTTAGTTGTCCCTTTAACTCCCCTGATCTGATTTATAATTCTCCCCTCTAGCTGCTACACATTTTCTTGTAAATTAGTTGTAAGAATTTGGTATTAGATCCAGACAACAACTTCTGCCTGATACATTTGAGTATTCTCATTACCTCTTTGCTGGATAGTTGATAGATATTGTAGAGAGAAGTTCCAGCTGAATCACTTTTGGAAGTTAAAGGGTTAAAGAACATAATGAGATCATGAATGTACTGTTCTTCTTTCAATAGCTGATGCAGCAAGACTGGCAAATAGCCCAAATGTGATGCCTGTGACAGCAGCTAAAATTTCACCTGTTATTTTACCCAAAACAGCAAATTCTGCTCCATCCCCAATGGTAAGAACGCTTTATATTGTGTATCTTTCTTCAAAGGATGCAGACTAGTAGAATTTTGCTATAAATTTTCTGCTGTTTTGCAAGATGGTTGGGTCTAGTGATTGGCAAGAAGCTCCTGGTCAAGAAACCTGGATTTAAGCCATGATCAGGCTATTGTGATGTGGTCCTGGGAAACTCTCACACTACCCCTCTCCCGTTGGGAGCATTAAGATGTACCGATGAATTATGTGGAAACCTGAAAAAATGCCAGAGGGTAGGGTAGGGAGATGAACAATACCTCCCACCCACTAATCTGTTTCATTTCCAAGATCTAAACATAAATTCTCTGTACTGCCTGCTATACATTTCTAATCATGTAGTTTATGAGAATTTGGTCTTAAATCAAACAATATCCCCTAAATGATACTTTTTTCTGTCTTGTCACTTTTTTCCTTGGAAAAACATTCCTTAGAATCAGAGATAAGCTTTGATTATAGAGGGATTTGCCAATAGGCTTGCAAGATGTCACTGTCCATTGTATGAATTTCTTCCTGCAGTTGTAAAGAAAGACCACTAAAGTGCTTTTTTTTTTTTTCTGTAGGTAATAGGTTCTCCTGGGCCACATCAAGTTATTACTGTTGGTGGAAGTCCAAGAACACCAACCATGATTGCTGCTCCAATTGTGGCACCGAATACAACAGCTTCATGGACGAGGTAAATGATACTTGTCAAAGAAAAAAATGTGATAGAGCCAAGCTTTTTTCAAGGAAAGAATCTGGTCATGTTTGGAACTTTTCCATCTTGATTTTTAAATCCAACATGTTACTAATTATTCAACAGCTCAGGGCAAATAAAATATGATGTACTTATTGACTTAATGGAAGGGCCTGATGGGAAAATATCTGGCTTAAGGTTGTTATCTTGGAACTGAGCGCTGTAAGGTCCATAGTCAACCTTTTAAGTCCCAGACCAAATTTGTCCTTACTGTCACCCATACAATTCTTATAATGTTAGTTCAGAGAATTTAGTATTGGATCAACTAATTATCCCCAAATTGTTATTTTTCTTTATTCTCGTCACTTATCTGGTTGATATTTTATTGATATTGTGAGGAGAATTCTGTTTTGGTCACTCATGGGAATTAAAGGGTTAATTAATATGAACAAGAAACCCACAAAAAAGTACAAGTTACATGGTCATTTCTGTTTTATTTTAAGTCATTGTTCACAATTAGAATTGTTGTTCTTAGTATATGCAACAGCTGTGTCACATGTAGTATTGGGCCAGCTGCCTATGCAGTCATAATGGTTTTATTTAGGATTGTGCCTAACACAACAACAGAAAAAATTGGCAACTGTGCCCTTACTCCTAATATATAATATGGTTGAACTTGATGTAGTTCTTCAAGAAAAAAATAGTCATTGAGTGATTTTTTCTTAACCCTCCTTAAATTTTCCTACTTAAAGTTTGTTTGAAAAAATGCAATAAAAATATGTATAGGTCACTGTGCTTGTTCAAGAGTTTAAAGAACATCGTACCTCTTTACCTGGTCCATGGATTAAAATACAAAACTGTGTTCTCCGAATGCACCCACGCTCATTCCCCTGATTACTTGATTTTTACGCACAATATCGGATGCGCAGTGCAAAATTGAGGAATCACCTTAAAGTTATCTTTGTAGTCATGTGGTTTAAACAAGTGATGATATGACAATAACTGGTTTCCTTTCTTTGTAGAGTAAGCACAACTCCAAATAGTGGAAAGAAAAGGAGAATGGATTGTTTGGAGAATAGTGACCTACTAGATAGTGCAGAAAGGTTAGAGATAAAAGAAAGACAGGGTTCTCGTTAAGAGTTGTAGAATGATGTGAAGAATGGGGGCATTTTCTCTACATTTGACTGGAAAGTTGCTCAGGGTTTGAAAATTTTGCCTGTGAATTTTGGGCAGTAAACTGGTGAACCCTGTGATCTCCAGTGCTTAATCAACACTTTAGAAAATCATGGACAGGAATAGCTACACTTCTGATGCCCTGATACAGCTTTTAGTTTGGTTAATTTAGGACGGGAAAAATCTGCACTAGATTGATACTGCAATCCTGAGTTCATTTTTAACTCTTGAAAATTTAGAGACCATAAGTTTTAAAGACTGATTTTTTTTTTCATCATGAGTTACTGGAGGCATACTTTGAATGCAAAATTTTATCCCCTCTCAGAAAACGAGGTAAAAGACTACCAAGTGCAGGTCGCTCAGGGGGTGATAAAAGTGGAAAAGGGTTGAGACATTTCTCCATGAAAGTGTGCGAGAAAGTTCAGCAGAAAAGAACAACATCCTACAATGAGGTAATCATATTAACACATTTTACTAAATAGTGAGCAGATGTTTGTTAAAATGGTGTGTAATATGCTGTATGATATAACACTATTTCCTTGAATAATCACTTGGCCACTCATCCACAATTTCAGCTTAAGGGAGGGGCACTTATTGGAAGGAGGGTGCTCAATAGTGGAGAGCGTTTACTAAGAAACTATTCCATCATAGTTTAAGCTTAAAAAATCATAAATAAAGTAGCTATGGAAACAGGTTTTCCTTGTATCCCTACTAAGTAACCCTTTAACTCCAAAAATTGGAATGTTAATTCTCTCCCCTAGCTGCTACTTATTTCCTTGTAAATTGGTGAGGAGAATTTGGTGTTCAGTCAAGATAATGTCTTGTACCTGATGAGTTTGAGCAATCTCACAACTTGTTTGCTGGATAATGTATGGATACTATAGGGAGAAGTTACATGATAATCACTTCTGGGAGTGAAAGGGCTTAGAAAGTGGGGGAGGAGAGAAAGGAGAGAAGGGGCATATGACCAAGGGTTATTTTGGGGATGGGATGTTGAGTTCTCTTTAACTTAAGATTATTGCAAATTGATTAATTATTATATTGATTAGCAGTTATTATGGTGAGTGGCCTTTGAATTAGAAATGTCGACTGGTTCCTTTTCAGGTTGCTGATGAATTGGTTCAGGAGTTCAGTGATCCTGACAAACATCTCTCACCCACGGACCAGGTATATTGCTAATGATAGCCACAGCATTTTTGTGATTAATTTTTTTTAATAAAAAGTAGATAAGCCAGAGAAGTGTGGGAAATTCACCATGCCATTAAATCTGACAACTTTGAAGTATTTGAGCATGTTAACCCTTTGGCTCCTAGCATCTAATTTCTCCTTACAATATCACCCCTGAATCAAACATTAGGTTTATGAGAATAAAGAAAAAGATCGCCCACAAGGGATGCTCTTGATTGTTAAACAATTTCTCCTTGTCAACAAGTAAAGAGTGATGCAGATAACACCATGGAGAATATGCATACTGACAGTGGTATGTAAAGGGCTAAAGGGACACAAAATAGGATGAGATTCATGGAAAAGTGGATGAATTATGATATTTGATACATGTAGGTTTCTGTGGTAGGCCATGCTAGGATTATTGGCCTATTAACTCTCGTAGATGCCAAGATAATGATGATGATTATTCAAACTCTTTTCAAGAACAACTCAACCTCTGTCAAAGCAATCTGATAGACTCAATTCATGTTTGTTTGCCTTCTTTTTTGCTGTCTATTCTATCAAGAAAAACATTGAATTTAGCTGTTTGTGCTTATTTTAAGGCTTATGACCAGAAGAACATCAGAAGAAGAGTATACGATGCATTGAATGTGCTGATGGCAATGAACATCATTTCAAAAGAAAAGAAGGAAATCAAGTGGGTTGGTTTGCCCACAAACTCTGCACAGGAATGCCAACAATTAGAGGTATGTGTAGAAGAGCTGACCCTTTGTTTAAAACTACACAGTGTAAATAATCAGAAGGTTATTTTGTAAACCTTAGAAGTAGTTCAAGCAAAGTTTTGCTGCATGGGTAACAATGCACACTGTAAGGATTTTTATCCCGTGAATTTGACAAAAGTAGGAAGCTTAAAGTTTTTGTGACAAAATCATGTGAAATTTTAATGATTTTCTCGTTTGAAGTGGCTGGAAACTAATTTTCGAGCATCTAAAAAAGTTGTTGCAAACATCTCAGAGCTCAACTCAAGCCTTGATCCTCAAGGTTTTTGAGGGACTGTCGATTTACTTGTAAATTACTCCTAAGGCTGGCAGAACACCCCACTGTTAAATCTTTGATGTGTAATCCTTTGTCTTAGCTCACTGAAGGTTCCTATTCTATATACACACACATTATATATATATATATATATATATATATATATTGCACAATAGAGAATCATCTTATTGCAAATGAAATCATTATTTTAGACCCAGTGCGTAATGTGTTTCAGCTACTGCCTTCATCAGGGGTCTTTTCATTTATTTCAAAAATGCATTCATGTACATATACATACATATATATATTTACCCCTATATGCTTAAGTTCTTACCAAAAAATTGTCATCTCAGGAAGAAAAAAGGGAAAGGCAAGAAAGAATAAGACAAAAGACAGCTCAATTACAGGAGCTGATCCTGCAGGTAAGCCAATGCAGTAATGAACATCCTCTTTGCCTGATTCAACTTGACTTTCCTCTAGTCAGACTTATGAAAATGAAGGAACAAGTAGAATAAAGATAAGATCTTTATGATGAGGAATTTTAGTAAGCTCCCTGTTGAATTCCAAAAGCATGTGCTGGAGAAGAAATGTAAATTGTTGTGTTTCCTTGACCCTTTCACTCCTACAAGTGACTAGAATCTAATTTTCCCCACAATGTCACTCTTAACCCTTCAACTCCCAAGATCTGATTATTAATTCTCCCCACTATCTGCTACACATTTACTTGTAAATTGTTTGTGAGAATTTGGTGTTAGATCAAGTTATCAACTTCTACCTGATAAGCTTGAGTATTCTCATTACCTGTTTGCTAAATGATGTAGGGATATTATAGGTCGAGTAGTTTTGTGTTGATCACTTCTTGGAGTTAAAGGGTTAAATCAAACCCTAAAAGAAATGATTGCCAACTGAAGGAACTCCAGACTGATAAACAAATTCTCCTTTTCTGGATTTTCATAATGATGTCTGGGTACAAAAAGCTAATCCAGAAGTGATTAACATATAACTTCTCTTTACAATATCAATATTTACCTTGCTGAAAAGGGGTGAGAGTGAATGAACTTACCAGCTACTAGGTGTTAAGTTGATGTTACATTAAATTCTCTTTACTTAATTACAATAAAGGTATAGCAGTTGGAAGGAAGAATTTGATTCCTGTTTGGAAATATGGACCTGGTGTTCATGCTAATTTCTATTTAATGTAATTTCAGCAAATTGCTTTTAAGAATCTTGTACAAAGGAACAAACAAGTGGAAAAGGATCAGGGTTCACCAGCTGCCAACACAGCTATCCATCTGCCTTTTATCATTGTGAACACAAGCAAGAAGACTGTCATTGACTGCAGCATATCAAATGACAAGTAAGAAGAACTAGCTTTGAGTAGTCCTGTTTTGCTATTGCATTGGGTGTGGGGCATGTAGCACAATGGAACCAGGCAGTGTTTGGGCATTGGTTGTGTCAGTTGGTTCAGTATTTCTCACAATTCAGGAATATTTAACAATTGTTCACTGAGGGTGTGGTATTATTATATTTGTTTCATTATTCAACAGTCTTCACTGAGCCTGGAATGAATAATTGTTTTAGTATAATTTTGCACAAGTGCTTTCAAATTCTGTTGTAACTTGAAAATTGTAAATTCTGCTACAATTGTTTGGATTACTTGTATCAAGATGAGCAGCCAGTTTCCACTAGAATTTAACAGGTTCATTAAATTCCATCATCTCTTTCTTTTCAAAAGTGTTATGCCAAACCTGTAGGCATCTTTTGTGGCCTTCAGAATTGTATTTTTTCTATCATGTTTATCACAACCTGTGTAACATTGACAAAATGTGAGACAGCCATTTTGAAATTTACTGCCCCTGCTATAATCACCTTGTGTTAGGTGATTATAGCAAGATATCATGCAATCCTCAACCAATCATAGCATGTGCATCTCTACGATCACTAGAGCAATCATACTAAAACTTGGTAACAGCAAACTCAAGGGAGGGGAGGGTAAGGGGGAGGGAGTGACCTGCAACTGATAATATCCCATTCATGTAAACATGCAATACTTCTACAAATGTAGTTGCTTGATGGTGTGGAGACCGTTAGAAAGTTTGGAAGAGTAGACTACTCAGCAAGTGTGGTGGCCTTCCTTCAGTTAATTTAGTTTGGTTTGAAATGTAATGTCCAAGTTGTAGTGAAGTGGTAGCAGTATGACATACCTACCATTAGAATCTTAAGATCTTGGTGTAGATTTTCTCAACATGCAAAATTTCTAGATCTTCCACTGCTATTCACCTAAACAATGATTTCCACTTTTCGGCCACATGTATGTATAACATTATCATCTTTTTCTTGTTTGCTCGTACCCTCTAGATTTGAGTATCTGTTCAACTTTGACAACACATTTGAAATCCATGATGACATTGAGGTTCTGAAACGAATGGGTATGTCATTCGGTTTGGAAAAGGGACAGTGTGAGGAGGCAAACCTGCGAACCTCAAGAACAATGGTCCCAAAAGCACTTGAGCCTTATGTCATGGGTAAGACTGTGGAAAGGTTTATATGTGAATTTAGAATGGAACTATTCTTGGGTTTATTATTGTAATCATTATTACTCTTATCTCTTCGATCACAGTCTTTGCTGGTGGTCTTTTTGTGCATCAGCCAGGTGCAAACCATACACTTAGGGCATTAGTCACTCAACTCAATTATTCTGTTCATACACTACACACCTTTCTGAGGATTTGTGCAGATCCCAGCATGGAGATCTTTTGAATCTCTGTCACAGAAGTTTTTTCTGATACTTTCTTTATGTTTTCCACCATCCCCTTCCTTATTATACCAAGCGCACCAACAACCACAAGGATAACTATGGTTTTCATACGCCACATTCTCTGTATTTCTAGTTCTAGGTCTTTGTACTTGCTTTTCTTATCCATCTCCTTATTATTATTATTATCATTATCATTATTATTATTATTGTTATTATTATTGTTGTTTTAATACACAAGTACCATTTCCTGGAAGTTCTTTAAAGTGACCTAGGTCTTGAAATTGCCATGGTGAAGGGCACCATTCTTGGCAATTTTAGTTTATAAGTGACTGACCTTTAGCCAAAGAATAATTTTAATTTTTTTTTCTTAAGCCTAGTAAAACCCAAAATACAAACTCAAGAAATGGTGTCCATGGGGAGCAGCAGTTACCTTGACCATGCCAAGATCCAATCAAATTCATTACTGTGCCTTCTTGGATAAAAAATTTGTAATAAAAGGACTTAAAATGCGTTCTTTCTTTTCTAGATATGGCAAAAACTGGTCCAGTTGGACTTGCTGGAATACTTGGCAATCATGCAACACCCAAGTATGTAATGATGATTTAACCTATTCACTCACAAGATTAAAGCATAACTTCTCCTTGCCCTTTCTAAACATTGCTTTTGATCTAAGTTCTGAGAATTTAGTGTCAAATCAGTGTTCTCTTGGAGATGATTTCTTCTTGTCACCTGACTGCTTGACAATGTGTTAATACTGTAAGGAGGAATTATTTATTGTTTACACTTTGGGGCAAAATTGTGTTGCAGACCTGGGGAAAGGCTTTGATAACCTATTATGGACTTTACTGTTAGGAATTAGCCTAAAACATGTGGTTTTGAGTGGCAAAGCTACAAGAGCTAAAAATCTGTTTGACTTTTTTTAAATTTCAAAGCAAATCCATGGGGTCTTCAGCTTCTCCGTTGGTTGCAGCCACTACGCGGATGTCACCTCTTCCTGCCCCAAATACACCTTCATCACCATTGGCCACCCCTCTGCCTCAAGGACATGGAACTTCACCTGTACCTACGGCAACCAGCCATACACGGAATCGTACCTCAAGAACATCATCTATGGCTAGTGATAGTGGGCCCTCACACCGAACCGCGTCTCCATATTCCTTTCCCTCTTCTCCAGCTTCTGATGCTTCTTCAGAATTATCACAAGATGGATTTATGGACACAGACGACACCAACACACACCACTGATTTTATCATCAATTAAAGTTTTAGGAGTGTGCGTTTAGGCGATAGAGACAATTATGATATTACTTCACTTCCCAAGAGTGAAGTATTTTGGTTTTGGAATGCAATAACTGAACTAAGTTTGTACATTTTACAGGCTTATACTATGAAATGCTTACTACCATTTGGTATTAGTTGATGCAAGGCTTTTATAGTTTTCTTTTTTTTTTTTCAACTTGAACATCCTCTGTGGAATGCTACAGAACATCAACAAGAATGTAGTGTAGTAAAACATATCCAAACATGTACGTACATTTCGTGAGACAGAAAATGGGAGAAAAATAGTGATGTAGATTAGCGAAGTTTTTGATCTGAGTGAGAAGGTACTGACCAAAGAGAAGGAGGTAATTTTGATATCAATGTTCTTTGGTGTAGATTTGATAAATAAGGTACAAGTTGCAATTTGTAAGTTTTACATCAATTTGTTGTGATGGAAACAAATTTGAATGTATATGTTAAAGCATCAAATGGACGTCTACTGTGTAACATGCTCTGTGATGTCGAAGCTTAGTTCACAACTCCTCACAGAGCTGGTATTATTTCTGATTTTGTACAGCACCTCGGGCAGAGTGCAAAGATGGGTACAAGGCTGCAATAAATAAAAACAACAAACATGTAAACTTTACGTGGTTTTACTGGAATATCATAAATTAGTAGGAACTGTGCGAGACATCTCAACTTCCTTATTTAGCGGATTCCGTCAAGCGAGTCAAAAAGAAGCGAGGAGTCGGGGCACGAAACCGTGGGTTTATTTCTCCGTGTTTTTTCTCCTTCACTGGTAAATTTCATTGCGTTATCATGATCTTTGCATTCTTTTGGTTACGCTCCCCTCGTTCAAGCGATTTCAAATTGAGGCCATAAATTGATCTTATTCATTACAGAGATTTACTGCTTTTAAGGATATCAGTTTTTCAAATTTGCTCTTTTCGAGTGTCAGAGTAATTTCCTCGTCACATAGCAGTCGCCGTGAATTTTTTTCTCTTGTCTTGTGCAGTCCGTTACTTACAATGCCCTTCATTTAGCTTGATTCTTGATTAGCTGGCAGGGTGTGCAAAAAGAACTCCACGTCAAACTTGTGACGTAGCAGCAGGTTATTGGCTGCAGTTGTCAATCCATATTCATCAGAAGTTGTGAAATTTTCAGCAGACCACGGTGGTCTGTCGTACAGTGAAGACGTGCCGTTCGTTGTGCCAAACAAACGCTGCGCTATGGAAGGAAGGAGACACAAGACCTCAGAAAGAAGAGCAACGAAAGCACTTTCATGACACTACAACAAAAGGTAAGCATTGCTTTTTGAAAAATATCACCGTAAACACCTTCAGAGATCTAAACGAGTCGTCTTATCTCGGTTCAACGACGTAGTATGAATCAGTTGCTCGGTCTAAGTGGTTCCTCGACTAAGAATTTCACCGAATTACAGTGTTGGCTTCGAGAAAAGCAGAGCAATGATTCTAAGATATTTTTAATGAAACGTTCGAATAAAAATGTTTTGCGTGCTATCAGTCTATCGATGACTTCATTTTGTATTTGAATGCTGCCACGTGGAGGTGTGACGAGTCTTCTTCAGTGGCATTTGCTTCATTGTAAATAACATTTACAAAAAAAGGTTTTGATGATTTCCCTTTTTCTTTCGCTGCGTCAAAGAGTCAAAAAACAATTTTTTAATTTTCGTCCTCATGGAAAATAACATTCCCTGATCACGTCCGTATTTACAACTTTCAGGAAGAGCAATGACGTCAGAGGAGAGAGGATCAAAAGTTCTGGTCAAGAGAAGACTTTGGAGTCACTGAGCTCTTATTGGATACTGCAAAGATAAGAACTTTTACAACATCTAGTAATACCAGCAAAAATGGTGGCTCCTTAAATATCTAGTTGTACGAAGTCTTTGCTCTTTCGACAACAGGCCATTCTACAGTTGTGTACTTAGTTGCCAAGTCTTTGATTTGGAGCGAGGCTGAAGGTGACCATGTTGTGATAGCGACTAATATCTAGTCAGCATAATAACAAAGTAATTTATATTTGAAAAGCAGCAAGGTTTGTATCATAACAAGGTCACCCTTAGCCTCACTCCTGTTCAAAGGCTTGGCAACCAAGCACGCAACTGTGAAATGGACTATTGTCTTGGCATGAATCGACCTGATTACATAGTAAGTGAATAGTTCTCATTTAGCCACCATTTTTGGAATAGCTTGTTGTGTTACTGATTGTTATGCAGACCCTGAGCGATCATTTGATTTATTCGAGCTACCCGTTACAATTTGGTGTAATTAATCTCAGATAATCTGATTGCATCGAATTAAGGTTAGAAAAAACTGGAAACTGATATAATTCTGGTTACGGGAAAACTTATATTAAATTATCAATTTCGGAGCTCTGATCGCTCATTTCTTTGGTTTGGTTAGCAGTTAGTACCACAGTTATATCCTAGTTGATATCACGCCAAGTTGGTATATTAAGGTGGCACTCCAACAAATTAAATACTTCGCCCAGACAAAGACCAAATAGGATTCAAAATTGAAATCTTTTGGCGAGTTTTAATTTTTTGCATGCTTTTTTAAGTCAAAAATCACATTGATGAACACCATCGATTTACACAATCTTCAAAGACTGACTTTGAAAGCTAGTTTACAACAGAAGACACTAACTATCGGCTCTTGATAAACGACGGCTTAAAAAAAACCTAAGCGATCACCAACCAACAAAACAGAACAAACTAACCATAAAGAATGATCAAAACTGACTGATCAACGGACAGACGCTATTTGAGTCTGACAGCCTCTTTACTGCAAAACTGATCAATCATCAGTCTTGCAAACCAAAGTTGTATCGTTCGACTTGTGCAAGCAATTGTTCCCTCGACTCTGATGACTTCTACTCAGGCCAGTCCGACTAGTTTTGACGATCAACCTTTTCATGCAGGACTTCTCTGGCCTGGACGATCGTACTTCACGACTGACAACTGAATTATTCCAAGAGTAAAAGTTGGCTAAAACATATTATGCAATAGAAAATTCATTCTCGGCATAAAGTGAATAAAACTGGAAATTTAAGAACCTTTTATTCCAAAAAGGAAGTATTTGTTTTTTATACACGAAGCAAGAATTTAGTAAAGTGCCATCTTAGATTGAATCCATTACTTTGTGCTATCAACTGGGATCGGTTTCCGTTTAAAATAAATATGTATTTTAAAACTCTAATGCCTGGTCACGCGCTCGAGATCTTTAACGAAACTGATAAAGTTGAAATTTACCACCATATAAACCAGTTTGAAATTAATCCTTTTTATTACGAAGAAGTACAATTTCATATTTAGAGAGGAGTTCATTCGATAGAAACGAAGGTGGTAAATTGTTTGCTAATCTTTGAGAAATAGTTTACAGATTGCACGAAAATCAACTTAGACATGCGAGCCAGTGGTAAATTGTTTGGGTTCTAGTCCTAATCTTTGAGAAATAGTTTACAGATTGCTTTTAGGCGAAATCTAAATTATTACAAGAAGTAAACCATATTTAGTTCATTCGATAGAAACGAAGGCGGTAAATTGTTTGCTAATCTTTGAGAAATAGTTTACAGATTGCACGAAAATCAACTTAAACATACGAGCCAGTCTATTGACCAGTAAACAATGAGAAGGTCTATTGGCGAAGAATCTTTGCTATCAAAGATCATAATTGTCTCAAACGAACAAAAAATGACATTTTTATTTGCTTATCATGATTCTAAATTTTGATAAAACACGTTAATTCTAGACGAACGTCAGATTCAGAAATGCAAATGAAATTTACAAATTTGGGGAATTTGATATTTCACCAAATCAAAACAGATACCATATTTTCAAATTTCGATGACGCCGAGTTTTATGAGAAATTAAGGAATTATAAACAGATTTGCTTATTTCAGAATTGAAACAAAAGGGCCGTTGATTTTTACGAAACCAAAGCGCAAACCCGAATTGAAAATTAGTAGTATTTAAGTAAAAGTTTATCGAAAATAGAGTTTCCGTGTCCTGGCTTTGAAAAGATAGTTCTTCAGCTGGTTTATGTAGAATCGTTTCTTTAATACGCACTTTCTGGGGAGTCCATAAAGCTTGTAAATTAAGTCGCGTTCGATCAAAGAATCACTTGCTACCCTTTGCACCAGGCATTTTGTTTTAAAATATATCATGATTAGTTATTTACTTCTTAGTGCAAGTGGAAGGAAGATCTTTTATGCAGTCATTCAATGCAACACAGGAATACATAAAGAAAAACGATCGACAAAAATATGAAATTTACAACAAAACAGAAATTGAACGTGTATAGCGACTAAATCTTTAAGAACAAATGTTACGCAAGGATTCATAGTAAATAACTTGGCTTAAATAGAATTCTAACAGTCTGCTAAAATCAAATTTAAATAGTTGGCTTCAAATTTATTACATGTTGCATTTCCTTGGAAATTTTATCTAAGAAAATTGGAGCCTAATTATACAATGTTTTGGTTCTTGCGGCCTAACCAAACTAGGGTTTGTTCCAACAAATGATACCTTGTATTTTTTAAAATGTTCCGCGAAGTTAGGCTAGGAAATTTGGAGCCCAATTGTGGATTGTCTTAACTCTTGTGGCTAAAATCAAATATTGAAAGAGTATGCTCCAATTATTCATAATATTTTCTTGTAAATTTAGTAAAAATTGGAATTTTGGAATAGGGGAATTTACTTAGTCTTTGGTAACTATTTTCGATTCTTCATTTACTTGTGTTCTGTGTTGCATTCGAAAACTGGCGGCTTTAAAGATCTTTACCCCGAAGGAAAATATTATAGCAAGTTAGGCCTTAAAACAAACTCTAAATTTCGAAACTTGTCTCAATTTTAGAGATCAATTAAATATTTCTAACCAAACGCTCTATAGCTTGCCCTGATGCTTTTTGTGGGGAACATCCACACATCATCTCGTGCAAAAAAAAAAAAAAGCGAGTCAGATTAT